TTTAGGGTTTAGGGTTTAGGGTTTAGGGTATACTTTAGGGTATCCCACCCTTCCGGTAAACCCGAAACCCGAAACCCTAAACCCTAAACTCTAAACGTAGTTCGAGCGCCTTGCTCGTAGGGTCGGTGACTGCCCGCAGCTCGAACTCGTACGCCTTTTCCACCTCCGTCCAGGCCTCTTAGGGTTTAGGGTTTAGAGGGTTGTTTGGGGTTTAGGGTTTAAGGTTTAGATGGTTTGTGGTTTGGGGTTGAGGGTTTAGGGCTTAGGGTTTAGAGGGTTGTTTGGGGTCTAGGGTTGGGTTTAAGGTTTAGATAGTTTATGGTTGGGGTTTAGGGTTTAGGGCTTTGGGTTTAGAGGGTTGTTTGGGGTTTAGGGTTTAGGGTTTAAGGTTTAGATGGTTTATGGTTTGGGGTTTAGGGTTTAAGGTTTAAGGGTTAGAGGGTTGTTTGGGGTTTAGGGTTTAGGGTGTAGGGTTTAGGGTTTAAGGTTTAGGGTTTAGGGTTTGGGATTTAGGGTTTAAGGTTTAGATGGTTGTTTGGGGTTTAGGGTTTAGGATAGGGTTTCAGGTTTAGATGGTTGATGGTTTGGGGTTTATGGTTTGGGGTTTAGATGGTTTCTGGTTTGGGGTATAGAGGGTTTGGAGGTTTAGAGGGTTTGGAGGGTTTAGAGGGTGTAGAGGGTTTGGAGGGTTTAGGGGGTTTAGAAGAGGGTTTAGAAGAGGGATTAGAAGAGGGTTTAGAGGGTGTAGAGGGTTTAGGGGGTTTGGAGGGTTTAGAGGGTTTAGAAGGTTTAGAGGGTTGAGAGGGTTTAGAAGTTTTAGGGTCTAAGTTTTAGATGGAGGTTCGCCTGCGGCCCAGACGACTTCACAACACAGACATCTAAATCCCTGAACCCCTGACGACCTGAAACCCTAAATCCACACACCAAACCCTAGCCCCCTCCCACCTTAGAAGCCATCGACATCAACACCTCAGATAAAGCTCTGGAAAACCTGTTGAATCACACCAAGGTTCAGAGCTAGGGTGTGGGGCTTAGGACTTAGAACCCCTAAACCCTAAACCCTAAACCCTAAACCCTAAACCCTAAACCCTAAACCCTAAACCCAGAATGTGGTCATCCAGCAAAACTGCAAATGTGAGAACAAGGGCCACAGCACGAGCGCCGAAACCCTAATTAAACCCTAAACCCCAAACCCGAAACCCTAAACCCTAAACCCGAAACCCTAAACCCTAAACCCCAAACCCTAAACCCGAAACCCTAAACCCTTAACCCCAAACCCGAAACCCCAAACACTAAACCCTAAACCTCAATCCCTAACCCTAAACCCTAAACCCCAATCCCTAAACCCGAAACCCTAAACCCTAAACCCCAAACCCCAAACCCTAAACCCTAAACCCTAAACCCCAAACCCTAAACCCTAAACCCTAACCCCCAATCCCTAAACCCTAAACCCTAAACCCTAAACCCTAAACCCTAAACCCTAAACCCTAAACCCTAAACCCTAAACCCCAAACCTTCCTGCCTCTGTTCCCACCAGCACGCCGGCAGCCTTGGAGCGGGCGAAGCCCAGGCGAAAGGCGAGCCAATCCTCCGAGCTCCAATACAGGGGTGGTTTAGGGTTTAGGGTTTAGGATTTAGGGTTTAGGGTTTAGGGTTTAGGGTTTAGGGTTTAGGGTTTAGGGTTTAGGGTTTAGGGTTTAGGGTTGTTCCCCCGTATACTGACGGTCCTTAATAGGGATTCTAGTACCCCTTTATAATCCCTATTAATGACTGTTAGTATAAGGTTCAGGGAGGAAGAATCTGCAAGGACATCACGAGGTTCAAGATTGAAGGACTCGGGATTCCGCGGCTTGTGCCTAAAGAAGCTTCAGAGGTCTAGATCAATACTTGGTTGCCGCTAACGCACGAACAATTCAGCCACCACAAGATGGAAAAATAAGATGGTCCCCCTTGCGACCATGATTTTGCTTAAGTCCAAAAGCAGCAGGCTGAACCCCAGTTCCCAAACCCCAAACCCATAAAACCCAAAGTTGGGGTTGAGCCTGCCGAAAAATGACTCGCAAGGACACTGAGTTGGCCTAAGAATTCGCACAGGGGCCGTCAAAGATGTCAGGTTTGGGGGTGCAGGGCTTGCAGGGCTTAGGGCTTAGGGTTTAGGGTTTAGGATTTAGGGTTTAGGGTTTAGGGTTTAGGGTTTAGGGTTTAGGGTTTAGGGTTTAGGGTTTAGGGTTTAGGGTTTAGGGTTTAGGGTTTAGGGTCTAGGGTTTAGGGTTTAGGGTTTAGGGTTTAGGGCGTAGTGCTTCGGTGTTGGGTTCAGATCTGGTCTGGGGATTTCAAATGGGACATTAGGCCGACATGGGATTCTAGGGTCTTGACGGGTTCCCTAAACCCAAACCTACCACTTCAAACCCAAAGCCTAAACCCTCAAACCCTAAACCCTCAAACCCTAAACCCTTAACCCTAAACTCTAGATCTGAACCCTGCGCAGGCTTAGGGTTTAGGGTTCCCGGTTTAAGGTTTAAGGTTTCGGGTTTAAGGTTTTAGGGCCACTCTTTCCCTTCCCCTCTCAAAGAAGGGCCTGGACGTAGAGGCAAATGGAGCCCAGGTTGGAGAGCTGCTGCGACGAGTCCACCTTTAGGGTTTAGGGATAGGTTTCTGGAGGTGAAAACCTCCCTTTTCCCTCCTGACCCCCCCAAAACGCGCCCCCCCCCCCACCCCCCCCCTACCCCCCCCCCCTACCCCCCCCCGCTCTACCCCCCCTACCCCCCCCTTCCCCCCCCTACCCCCCCCCTACCCCCGCACCGCAAGGATCGTAATCAGGCATCAAAGGGGGCCACCCACACCTGCTACCCCCCCCCAACCAAACACGGGTGCTGGGTCTAGAGGCGCGAGCGTTTCACAACTTTTTGGGATTCTGCCGAGCAGGCTGCGATGCTCTTCGAACCATGCGATGAGGAAAGCATCCTTTGAGCCGACGAGCGGGTTTAGACCCTTCAACTATGCTCTGGCGGGGTCGGCGGCTTGAGCCGGAGGCTCTTAAATTGAGGGTTGAGGGTTGAGGGTTGAGGGCTGAGGGCTGAGGGCTGAGGGTTGAGGGCTTCGGTTTCAAGGTTTAGGGTAGGTTAGGGTCGATGGTTGAGGATTTAGGGGAGTGTAGGAGGGCATTTTGGGTCCTGGGCAATTAAAGCCACCCTACTGCTTAGCAGCCGCAACTAGGACCAAACCCGCCCGAGGCCTCGTGTCTGGGTGGCGTAACCCCAGATTGTCTCGCTTGCTCGTTTGCATTGGGGGTGCCTGGTCTATACTACAACCGGGGTTTAGGTTTTAGGGTTTAGGGTTTAGGGTTTAGGGTTTAGGGTTGAGGGTTTAGGGCTTAGGGTTCAAAATAAGGAAGGAAGAATTGCGCGAAGCATCTCCCAGCCCTGAACCCCATCAACACCTTCACACGGATCTCTGGTTTGGGTTGCCTCGCAACTGGGCAGGCCCAGGCCGAGGCGGGTCGCGTAGCGTGACATGAAGGACTAGAGAAGGGATCATGGAGGGCTTAGGTTTGGGGTTCCAGGGTAGATCTCCGCACCTAGTTGGGCGTGTAAACAAAAAGCCCTAGACTGTGAACCCTGATGCCCCTAAGCATGGAACCCCGAGAGCCTTAAACCCCGAAACCCCTAAACCCCACAACCCTAAGCCCCAAACCATACGTCCGTGGTTTCGTTTTGGAAATGCGGCCTGCAGTACATACGAGTATTGTCAGAACGATGTAGAACACGGAATCCTACACCCGAAACCCGAAACCCTAAACAAACCCTAAGCCCTAAACTCAAATACTCCAAAACTCCAAGAGCACTCAAGGAAAGATGCAAACTCCGGGGGCCACAAAACCGGTGTAGGGTTTAGGGCTTAGGGTTTCGCGGTTCGGGTTTAGGGTTTAGGAGTAACCGCAAAATCCGAGAACAAAGCGTGTTGCGGTGTTAGGGAATAAGCCTAAGCCCTAGACAAGCTGCGTAAAACCTAGGTATGCCTTTCAACCATCCAAAATGATTCGTCCACATCACCCTGCTTCTACCTTCACTAGCAGGTGAAAGTCAAAAACATCAACCACTACTAACTCAAAACAAACAACCCTAACCCCCAAACTCCCAAACCCTAGCCCCCAACACCCGAAACCCCTCCAACCCTAAACCTAAACCCCTAAAGCCCAAACCCTAAACCCTGAAGCCCTTAGTATAGAGGGGGGTAGTAGCCCTAAACCCTAAACCCTAAACCCTAAACCCTAAACCCTAAACCCTAAACCCTAAACCATACGGAGGAACACAGGCAAGACTTCTTAGGCCTCAAACACCTCCTTAATAAGGACCCCCGCTTCCTGTCTTTCCTGGAATCCGCGCCGACGCGCTGCCCCCACTTGTTCAAAAGACACGCCAGAGCTCTTGCATGCGCATGGCTGCCATAAAAAAAAAACTAAACCAGGTTAGGGAGGTTCTGGTACTGCCAAGGCGCCTCGAAGCTCAAGGTCTGATGGAGGCCTTGGCTGCGCCGTGGGGGGGGGATGGATTGGGTTTGGGGTTTGGGGTTTGGGGTTTAGGGTTTAGGGTTTGGGGTTTGGGGTTTAGGGTTTAGGGTTTAGGGTTTGGGGTTTAGGGTTTAGGGTTTAGGTTTAAGGTTTAAGGTTTAAGGTTTAGAGTTTAGGGTTTAGGGTTTAGGGTTTAGGGTTTAGGGTTTAGGGTTTAGGGCTTAGGGTTTAGGGTTTAGGGTTTAGGGTTTAGGGTTTAGGGTTTAGGGTTTAGGGTGTAGGGGATGGATTGGGGGGGGAGGGGGGAGGATGGGGGGATTTAGGGTTTAGGGGTTTGGGGCTTTGGGTTTGGGGACTTTGGGTTTTGGGTTTTGGGCTTTGGGCTTTGGGCTTTGGGCTTTGGGCTTTGGGCTTTGGGTTTTGGGTGTGTAGCACACAGACACAGAGCACTGCCCGAGAACGTGAAGCCCCCGCACCGCAGTGCTCCATTTCACGCCACACGGCACTCCACGCTTGAGGCGTTGGTCGAATTAAGGAACCACTCGCCGCGGCAAGCTTCCTCCGGAAGGAGGTTCCCTTCCAGCGCGACGGCCGCGCGAGCCGGGAAGATCTCGGGCGGGAGCTGCCGGATTCGGTTCCCGGAGAGGTAGAGGCTCCTGAGCCCACCGAGACCTTTGAAGAGGCTTCCGTGGAGCCCCTGGAGCTCATTCCCGCGCAGGTCCAGCTCCTGCAGTCCATCCAGGCCTTGGAAGAGGCTGGGAGGGAGCTGGCTGAGGTTGTTGGAGCTCATGTTCAAGAGCAGCAGCTGGCCGAGATCACGGAAGAGGCCGGGCGGAAGCGCCTGCAGGGAGTTCTGGTAGAGCCAGAGCTTCTGCAGGGACTCCAGGCCCCTGAAGAGCTCTTCGGGAAGCTCCCGGAGAAAGTTGTCATGCAGGTCCAGTTGCTGCAGCTCTTGGTGCCCTCGAAAGAGGTCGTCAGGAAGCGCCCTGAAGTTGTTCTGATCGAGCCCAAGCTTCTGAAGGCCCAGGCCTCGGAAGACCTCGCCGGGAAGCTCCCGAAGTTGATTGTCAGCCAGGTTCAGGAACTCCAGCTGGCCAAGGCCCTGGAAGAGCTTTGGGGGAAGCTCTTCGAGCTCGTTGTGGCTCAGCCAGAGCTTCTGCAGGCGCGCGAGGCCGCGGAAGATCTCTGGGGGGAGGCTGCGCAGCCTGTTGCGGTCGAGCCAGAGCTGCTGCAGCTCCGGGACGTCGCGGAAGAGCCTTGGTAGCCCGGTAGGACATTGTTCTAATCAGGGCCACCCTTTTTGGGGGGATCTTTCATGAAGGGAACCCCAAAACCCCACTCCCCCCCCCAAAGAAAAAAAAAAGAGCAAAAAAAAATGAAGGGTACATGCTGATGCTACTCCGAAGGAGCCCGGGATCCAAAACTCTCAGCTGGTTTTCGTGCAGGCGGAGCTTCTGCAGCTGGAGGCCTTCCAAGATGCCCTGGGGGAGTTCGGTGAGCTCGTTCCTGTCCTTAAGGCGGACTTCTGAACTCAACTCCCCTTAGAACCTTAATAAGAATAATATGCTTAATATCCCCTTGGGTTTGCCCTTGGGTTTTATATACACAAAAGTAAGAAGTAATTCCGGGGGGTTATAGTGACTTCTGAACCCCTCCTAACGCTTTAACTTTTTAGGCTCCTAGTGCTGGTTTCTACAAGAACCCAAAAGGTTAAAGTCCTAAGAGCCAACCAGAAGAAAGCCCCAAGTGTCTAGCTCGAGAACTTTCAGCTGTCGGAGGCCTCGGAAGATGTCCGCCGGCAGCGTCTTCAGCTGAATCGTGCTGAGGCTCAGCAGCTCCAGCTTCTCCAGCCCCCGGAAGATGCCAGGAGGCAACACCTGGGCTGGCACTCTTCCAGGAGCTCCGAAACAAGTTGCCCCAGCAAGTTGCGCCAGAAAGTTACCCATGACACCATACTACTATTATTAACTGATATGTGTGTGCGTGTATACATATATATATATATATATATGTGTGTGTGTGTGTGTGTGTGTGTGTATGTACGTATGTACGTATGTACGTATGTACGTATGTACGTACGTACGTACGTACGTACGTACGTACGTATGTATGTGTATGTGTATGTATCCGCCGACCCCAGCAACAGCGGGGCGGCGTCAGTGAAGACCCTCCCTGCCCTCACCGCAACCTCTTCCCCCTTCCCCTTCCCAACCATTCCACTCCACCTCTCCACTTGGCCTTGCCTTCTGCCCCTAACCTCCCACCACCAACCCCTTCCCCTGCCCCCCCTCCCACTACCCTTCCCCTTCCCACCCCACCCACGCACCCCCCCCTTCCCAACCATTCCACTCCACCCCCATCCCGCTCCCCTCCCCTTTGCTCCCGCCTTCTGACCGCTCCCCTTCCCTCCCTTTCACCGCTTTCACGCAACTTGCCACGCTCGGCACCCCGCCCTCCCCCGCCTCACCGATCTCTGCTGTTCCACCCCCCTCCCCCCCCCCACCCCCCCCCCCCCACCCCCTTCCCCATGCAGGCCTACCCTCTCCCGACTACTCCGCCCCTCACCGATCTTTGCTGTTTCAGGGCCCCAATCACCACCCGCCCTGACCCCTGCCTTCCCACCCCAACCCCCAACCCCCCACCTCCCCCCACCCCCCACCCACCCCCCCCAACCCCCCCCCGCCGGCCCTATGCCCAGTGGCTCCACCTGTTTTTAAACGGGCCTCTGGCAGACCCTATCAGTCAGTCCGCTGACTGACTTTACCCTTCCCACCCATTCCACTCCTCCCCCCCCCCCCCCCCCCCCCCCCCCCCCCCCACGCAGGCGACCCTTGCTCTGCCCTTCCCTCCCACCTCTCCTACCCATGTCAGTGGCTGATGGCCAAGCTGGTGGTCCCCTGGCCCTGTGTCTACTGGCTCATGGCCCCACAGTTTTACGGGCCTCTACCTAGATGACTGAAGGGCTCCAGCGCATGCCGGCCCCCTCCACTTGCTCCTCCCCCTCCGTTTGCTCCGCCCTTCCCTCCCACCCCCCACCCCCCCCCACCCCCCCCCCCCCCCACCCCACCCCACCCCACCCCCCCCCCCCACCCCCCACTCATCTCCTCTACCCCCCTCCACCACCAACCCCTTCCCCTTCCCAACCATTCCACTCCACCCCCATCCCGCTCCCCTCCCTCTTGCTTCGACCACTCCTTCCCCATCTGTGTCCCTCCTCTCACCGCTTTCACCCAACTTGCGCCCCCCCCCCCCCCCCCCCCCCCCCCCCCCCCCCCCCCCCCCCCCCCCCCCCCCCCCCCCCCCCCCCCCCCCCCCCCCCCCCCCCCCCCCCCACCCCCTTCCCACAATCCACGCCCACCCTGACCACTCCCCCCACCACTGCCCCCCAACTCCCCAATCCCCTCACCCCGGCCCTATGCCCAGTGGCTCATGGCCACCTGGTTTTACGGGCCTCTGGCAGACCCGATCAGCTGACTGACTTTAAAGGGCTCCGCCCTTCCCGCCCGCTCCGCCCCCCTCCCCATCGCCCCCTGACTTCCCTCACCATCACCGTCCCCCCAACCCCCCCCCCTGGCCAACTGGCCATGGCCCCCTGGCTCTGTGTTTACTGGCTCATAGCCCCACAGTTTTTACGGGCCTATGGCCCTTTGCCTCTCTAGACTCGATCAGATGACTGACTTTAAAGGGCTCCAGTGCATGCCCGCCCCCTCCGCCCGCTCCGCCCGCTCCGCCCGCTCCGCTTGCTCCGCCCTTCCCCCCACCCCCCCCCCCCCCCCCCCCACCCCCCCCCCCCACACCTTGGAAAATTTGGAGCCATTAAACCTTGGAAAATTTGGAGCCATTAAATATGTGTATGTGCATGTGAATGTGCATGTATGCACACATACACATTCTTTCGGTAGCGTAGCTCGCAAAAAGTCCTTCACAGAGCAGCCCAGAGGCGGTCAGGGGGTTCAGCATCAGATCCAGCGAGTGCAGGTGCCTCTTAGGGTTTAGGGTGTAGGGTTTAGGGTCTAGGGTTTGGGGTTTAGGGTCTCGGGTTTAGGGTTTAGGGTTTAGGGTTTAGGGTTTAGGGTTTAGGGTTTAGGGTTTAGGGTTTAGGGTTTAGGGTTTAGGGTTTAGGGTTTAGGGTTTAGGGTTTAGGGTACATGGTCCTATTTGGGAAACCTTATATACCCCTTGAATAAACCCTACAAACCCAGGAGCCCATGATTCAGAACCCCTTGGAGGCAGATGACCACATTAAGGGACCATGCAGCGTCCGCCTAAGCCCCTAAACCCTAAACCCTAAACCCTAAACCCTAAACCCTAAACCCTAAACCCTAAACCCTAAACCCTAAACCCTAAACCCTGCGAGTGCCTGAGGCCCTGGAAGGCGTCTTCGTGCAGCGTCCGGAGCGTGTTGTGGCTCAGGTCGATGCTTCTCAACTTCGGGTTCCCTGCAAAGAGCCTCCGGGGCGGAAGGTATAGGGTTTAGGGTTTAGGGTTTAGGGGTTTTAGGGTTTAGGGTGTTAGGGTTTTAGGGTTTGAGGGTGTTAGCGTGCTAGGCTCCCTGCAAAGAGCCCCTGATGTTTTCTCTGTGACGGAAGGTTGAGGGTTTGAGGGACTAGGGACTAGGGTTTTAGGGTTTTGGGGTTTTGGGGTTTTTAGGGTTTTTAGGGTTTTAGGGTATTTGGTGACGAGAATGGCTTCCTTGCGATGGACATGTAGAAAAAGGGTTATATATATATATGTATACATGTATAACCACATGTTTTGCTATATTGATGTAGTTATTTAGTTAGTTAGTTAAGCAGTGAAGCAGGTCTAGCAATGTGTTCATATCTGGTAGGTAGGTGCTATGAGCCTGAACCCTAAACCCTTCTGGTGAGTTCCTTTCAAGCTTGAACAGCCGAGGAGCCGGGGGGGCAAGCTCGTGAGCGGATTCCCTCCAATCACCATGTCGTCCATCGTCTCCCCCACCCCTCCCAGGACGAGGTGCTCCAGGCCGGGCAGGTGCCTTCCAAGGGAGTTTAGGGCTTAGGGGGGTTTGGGGTTTATTAGGGTTTAGGGTTTAGGGTTTAGGGTTTAGGGTTTGGGGTTTAGGGTTTGGGGTTTGGGGTTTAGGGATCCGGGTTCAGGCTGGACCAGATGGGGATAAAAGAAATCTACGACGACCCTTCAAGCCTTCAACCCTCCAACCCTCCAAGCCTTCAACTTAGTCACAACTCCAAGCCATGAGAACCCTAAACCCTAAATCCAAAACCCTAAACCCTAAACCTTAATCAAAAACCCTAAACCCTAAACCCTAAACCCGAAATCCTCAACCCTAATCCCTAAACCCTAAACCCCGAACCCGGAAACCGAAAACCATGGCCTAAGAGCCGGCGCGCCCAGCTTGCTGAGGCGATTCTCGCCTGGGCTTCAGGGTTTCAGGTTTTCGTGGGTTGTTTTGGAGGAGGGGTGATATATAAATATATATATATATTTATTTATTTATTTCTTTATTTACTTACTTATTTATGCATTTATGTATTTATTTATTGATTCATTCATGTGTTTTTTTGCGGGGGGGGGGGGAATTTGGGGGTTTAGTAGCGTCTTGGGGCTTATAGGGCTCCGGAATTAAGAGTTCTAAGATTTTGGGCTGTTTTTCGGGTTGATAGGGTTAGTTAAGGGTTTAGGGTTTCGGGGTTTTTTTTTTTTTTTTTTGGGGGGGGGGGGGTTCTTGGGGCTGAATAGGGTTTTGGTGCTTATAGGGTTTAGGGTTTAGGGTTTAGGGTTTTAGAGTTCTAGAGTTTATGGGTTTATTGGAAGGGTTTAGGGGTTGAAGGGTTGAAGGGTTGAAGAGTTAAAGGGTTGAATGGTTGAAGGGTTGAAGGGTTGAAGGATTTAGGCCTTATGGTTCTTTAAGGGTTTAGGATTCTGGAGCTTGAGGGTTTCAGGGTTGTTGAAGTTTAAGGGGCTAGGCTTCTAGAGGGTTCCAGGATTCATTTAGGGTTTAGGCTTCAGGGTTCAGGGCTTAGAGTATCTTTCCGACTATGAACCTCGTGTAGGGAGTTGCAGGGATTTGGCTTGAGGGACCCCATAATTTCTGCAACGTGGCAACAACTGTAGAACCCTACACCGCCAAACCCCCAACCCTAAACCCCCAAACCCCTAAGCACCAAACCCTCAACCCTTAAGCCCTTAAACCCCTACCCCCTAACCCCATAAACACTAAATCCATAAACCCTAAACCTCAATCCCTAAACCCTAAGCCTAAATTCTAAACCCCAAAGCCCTAAACTCCGCAAGCCCAAACCCCCAAACCCTAAACCCCAAACCCCTAAACCCCTAAACCCTCAACCCCTAAACCCGCAACCCCTCGATCCCGAAACCCCCCTGAACCACAAACCCCCCAAACCCCCACTTGCCCTAAATCCTAAACCATTGACCCCTAGACCCATGTTTAAGCCCCCTCAACCCTCAACCCTCAACCCTCAACCCTAAACCCTAAACCCTAAACCCTAAACCCTAAACCCTAAACCTTAACACCCCCCCCCCCCCCCCCAAACCCTAAAAACCCCCAAGCCCTAGAGCTCTCAGCTCCGAGTGGCTAAGGGCGAGAACCCTGAGCTGCCTCAAACCGCTGAAGGCGTCGTCGTCGACCTCCATCAGCTGCGTCCGGCCTAAGGGTTTAGGGGTTTAGCGGTTTAGGGTTTAGGGTTTAGGGTTTCGGGTTTAGGGTTTAGGGTTTAGTAATTTGGGGTTTGGGGGCTTGGGGCCTAAGACTGATTTCTTTTTTCTTGCGATGGTGAGCAGTTGAATCATGGCTACTGTGACACATGTTGAATCATGGCTGGCGTTAGCATTTCTAAATTGTTGTGCTGGCTATGACCATAGTCTGATTACCCTAAAACCCTAAACCCTAAACCCTAAACCCTAAACCCTAAACCCTAAACCACTCTTTCATATATAATATAAATGTTAATGACTTTGCGGGCAAGGTCCTATATTTAGCGGGCAAGGTCCTATATTTAGCGGGCAAGGTCATATATTTAGCGGGCAAGGTCATATATTTAGCGGGCAAGGTCATATATTTAGTGGGCAAGGTCCATTGGCTAAAAAAAGACCTTGCCCACTAAATATATGACCTTGCCCGCTAAAGGGCGACCTTGCCCACTAAATATATGACCTTGCCCGCTAAATATATGACCTTGCCCGCTAAATATAGGACCTTGCCCGCTAAATATATGGCCCGGGCCAGGTCATATATTTAGCGGGCAAGGTCATATATTTAGCGGGCAAGGTCATATATTTAGCGGGCAAGGTCCTATATTTAGCGGGCAAGGTCATATATTTAGCGGGCAAGGTCATATATTTAGCGGGCAAGGTCATATATTTAGCGGGCAAGGTCATATTTTTCGCGGGCAAGGTCATATATTTAGTGGGCAAGGTCCCCCCCCCCCCCCACCCCCCCCCCCCCCCCCACCCCCCCCCCCCACCCCCCCCCCCCCCCCGCCCGCCCCCCCCCCCACTGCCCCCACCCCCCCCCCCCCCCTCCCACCCCCCCCCCCCCCACCCCCCCCCCCACCCCCAACCGCCCCCCCCCCCCAACACCAACCTCCCCCGCCCCGGAGCCCCCCCCCCCCCCCCCCCCCCCCGCCCCCCCCCCCCTCCCCCCCCCCCCCCCCCCCCCCCCCCCTGGAGCCCCGCAAAAAAGTCGATTCAAGATGGCTTCCAAAGAATAAGTTCCCGAATGACCGCGCCTGTTTTTGAGGCCCCTGAAGCCCCTCAAACGACTCAAGAACTCAAGATGGCTTCCAAAGAATAAGTTCCCGAATGGAAACATGTGGTTAACAAATCCATTCTGTTGACCACGTTGGTTTTCTTGTCCGCTCGAAACAGAAACATGTGGTTGACAAATCCATTCTGTTGACCACGTTTGGTTTTCTTGTCCGCTTGAAACAAACACATGTGGTTAACAAATCCATTCTGTTGACCACGTGCCTAGAGAAGAAGGAGGTTGGATATTTTTCCTAATGGTGTGGGACCCAATGGGCGGGTGGGTATTCCCCTGTGGCCTTGAAAGCTGCTCAACTAGTGAATGCTTGGACCAGAGATGCTGAACCCTAAACCCTAAACCCTAAACCCTAAACCCAAACCCTAAACGGCACTGCAGGAAGCTGCTGCTGAGGCGCTCAGGTCCAAGGACTGGAGGCAGCCGAGTCCTGCCAGAAGCACTCGGCTTGGGCAGTGGGAAAGCAGGGGGGGAGGACCTGTCCGGCTAAAATGCCTAGAATAAAGCTTGGGGGTTGTTGTAGGACGGTTCTACAAGGGACCGTAAGGGAACACTGTTAGTAAGCTCTTCCGACCCCTATGTTACACAGTGGCCTAGGATTATCCCCTGTAGCCCTCGCCACCAGCGCAGGGCATCACAGACCCGTGGTGTTTTTTTTCGGAAGCCGGAATTTAGACTCTCGGTTTCCGACTGCTCTCTCACAAACCTTCAACCTCAAGCCCTCAGCCCCTAAACCCTAAACCCTAAACCTTAAACCCTAGTAAACCTCTCATTCTTTTTCTGACTGCTCTCGCTGCGCATCGTGCCACTCTGTCCTGCGAAGCGGTGCGGCGGCAGGCGGACCAGGGGGTTGCCGGAAAGGTAGAGCTTCCGCAGCTGGCAGCCCAGCGGGCTGAAGGCTTCGGCGGCGATCTCGCTGATGTTTCGAGCATTCAGGCTCACCTCCGTTGCGATGCCTATGTGCCCGAAAGCCCGAGATGCATCAAGCTCCCTGATTCAACCCTAAACCCTCAACCCTAAACCCTAAACCCTAAACCCTACACCTAAACCCCAACTTTGTGTTCACAAGAAGCCCCCAAAGAAATTCCCCTTAGTGCCTGCTCTATGCCCAAGGATTCCACAAGAGGGCAGCGCGTCAGGCGAAGGCCCTGAAGGCCATCCCCCAGGCAGTGGCAGGGAAAGCACCTTCTCAAGGGACAAAGACTCGTACCCCCGAGGTTGTACCCCGAAGTTTGTACGTTTGTTTGGGGTTTAGGGCTTCGGGGACCCTAAACCCCTAAACCCACGTACACCCTTTCCGGGAGGATATTTAATTTGAAGGGTTTTCGGGGCACCAGTAGAAGTCGGAGGAGGTATGATGACCCTAAACCCAAAACCCTAAACCCTTCAAGCCTTCAACCCCAAACCCTAAACCCTAAACCCTAAACCCCAAATTCTAGGGTTTATGATGCTAAGGCGCCTGAAATCTCCCGAATGGCCCGGGTAGGTGTCCTGAGGTCCAGAGGTGGCGGCAGGGCACAAGAAGACCACAAAAAGGGCAGACGAGAAACCCTAAACCCTAAACCCTAAACCCTAAACCCCAAACCCCAAACCCCAAACCCCAAACCCTTCCAGGCTTTAGGAAATTTAGGAGACCCCGGGGTCCTCTGATGCCAGCAGCATCGCCAAGAGCAGGAGCAGGGAGCCCGCGTAGGCTGTCGCACCGAGGAATCTCCATCCCTTGCGCAGGCCGCCCACGGACCTGCAAGGCGTTTAGGGTTTAGGGTTTAGGGTTTAGGGTTTGGGGTTTAGGGTTTAGGGTTTAGGGTTTAGGGTTTGGGTTTAGGGTTTGGGGTTTGGGGTTTGGGGTTTGGGGTTCAGGGTTTGGGGTTTAGGGTTTAGGGTTTAGGGTGGTTGTAAGCTAAGAACAGTTCAACATACCAAGCTCATACCTTTTAACCTCTACCAGGAGAATTACAAGGAAGGATGTTACCATACCCCTGAATGTCTTGTAAGAGTTATGCCCAAGGGGTATGTTGAATAGTATTCTTCGATGATAACAGACCGCTACCAGTAGAACACACCATGTTTGGGCTTGTGGTCAAATTTCAGGACATTAGGGTTCAGGACGATTCGGGTTCAGGATGATGAGGGTTCAGGACGATGAGGGTTCAGGGTGAGCAGGGTTCAGGATGCATCGGGTTCAGGGTGAGTAGGGTTCAGGATGAGTTTAGGTTTAGGGTTTAGGGTTTAGGGTTTAGGGTTTAGGGTTTAGGGTTTAGGGTTTAGGGTTTACGGTTTAGGGTTTAGGGTTTAGGGTTTAGGGTTTAGGGTTTAGGGTTTAGGGTTTAGGGTTTAGGGTTTAGGGTTTAGGGTTTAGGGTTTAGGGTTTAGGGTTTAGGGTTTAGGGTTTAGGGTTTAGGGTTCGGAATGATTCGGAACCTCCCTCTTTGCCCCCCACATGTCCCATTGCCCATGACCTGGTGGCGGAGGCCGCGCGCAGATTGCCCCAGCTGGAGCGCTGCAGCATGCGGCAGACGCAGCAGACGTGCGCCACGTTCAGGTACACCGCCGCGTAGCTCCAGAAGTCACTGGGAAACACGAAGTTGGGGCTGACCCGGTTGCCTTGGAGCAGGGTTTAGGGTTTAGGGTTTAGGGTTTAGGGTTTAGGGTTTAGGGTTTAGGGTTTAGGGTTTAGGGTTTAGGGTACCCCTCCCCCCCCCCCAAACAAGACCATGCTGCTGAGGTCCTGGTGCTTGGAGACATGCATGCCCGGCATGCCGAAATTGCCCAAGACCGTTTGTGCAGTCTGCAGCTCCAATAAGGCCATGATCACCTCGAGCAATGACCCCTGAACCCTAATCACCCCCAAACCTCTAAACCCCTAAACCCGAAACCTATATAGACCCTAATCACTGCTTACTAATCACCCCTAAACCCTAAACCCTAAACCACATACGGTTTCCACTTGGAGGGCTTTGCATGAGTGTGACACGAAGCAGAAACTGAACATGGGAAAAGGTGCCATCTGCGAGTAGCTCATCATGTAGCCCAGGTCCTTGGCGAAACGAATCCAACTACCTGCATTTCGGATGGACTACGATAAACCCTCAACCCTGAACCCTATCATTCCCAATCTCTAAACCCTAAAGCCCAACACCCTACACCCTATCCCCTAAACCCTGCTAAGAATAGCTGGGCTCGTGCCCGGATAACTTGCTGCCGCCTTTTAAGTCCAAAGCTCGGCTGAAGCTCGTTCTGAGGTGTGCTCAAGGCTTAGGGCTTAGGGTTTAGGGTTTGGGGTTTAGGGTTTAGGGTTTAGGGTTTAGGGTTGAGGGTTGAGGGTTTAGGGTTTAGGACGTTGCCCCTCTTTTGCAGACAGAGCGGCCAGGACTGCGTCCATCAGCGCCGCGCCACCGCGGATCCAGCTCGTGTCTGGCAGCACGAGGAGCGCAGCCTGGGGTGGGTTTGGGGTTTAGGGTTTAGGGTTTAGGGTTTAGGGTTGAGGGTTGAGGGTTGAGGGTTGAGGGTTGAGGGTTGAGGGTTGAGGGTTGAGGGTTGAGGGTTGAGGGTTGAGGGTTGAGGGTTGAGGGGGTTTCGGGTTGAGAGCTTAGGGTTCGGGGTTTAAGGTTTAAGGCTTAGCGCTTAGGGATTAAGGCTTAGGGATGATAGGGCCCTATAACAAGTTCTGCCTTCAGTGGGTTTTAGGATTTAGGGTTTAGGGTTTAGGGTTTAGGGTTTAGGGTTTAGGGTTTAGGGTTTAGGGTTTTAGGGTTTAGGGTTTAGGGTTTAGGGTTATTGGGGTTTATGGGCTGTATGGAAAAGTTCGTGCCCACAGAACTGAAAAAAAATGTACTCGGAACCAACCCCGGTGGCGGGATAGATGCTGTTCCACGCGATCAGCGCACAGAACGCCCAGAACGTCTTAACGAAAGGCCCGGCAGATACCCGTGGAGCCTCTCCAGACTGTCATGCAGGTGCTTGGGGGAAAGTTTAGGGTTCAAACACAAAGGGTTCAGGGTTTATGGTTTGGGGTTTAGGGTTTAGGGTTCCCAGTGGTGCTTTCCATCTTGTCCGTGAAAAAACAGTGCCACACTACCCCGAAACCCTAATGCCCTAACCCCAAAGCTGCAAAGCCCCAAAAACCCTAAAACTCTAAAGCCCTAAAGTCCTAAACCAAAAGAACCCACCCGAAAACCCTAAACCCCAAAGCCTCTTGCTGCCTAAACTCTAAACCCTAAACCCTAAACCCTAAACCCTAAACCCTAAACCCTAAACCCTAAACCCCAAAACCCCAAAGCCTCTCGAGCACTGTCCTCCGGGCCCGCAAGCCAGACATGACGAAAGCGGCGTTTGCGGCTTTGGGGGGGTTTCTGCTGGGCTTTTAGAGCTCCTTGCAGGTCTTCAGGGCTTCTGGGGTTTCTTATAGGCTTTTTCCTAAACCCTAAACCCTAAACCCTAAACCCTAAACCCTAAACCCTAAACCCTAAACCCTAAACCCTAAACCCTAAACCCAAAACCGTTCAGGGCTCTTGGGGTTTCTGGTTCCCAGAGTTGAAGCGTGCCTCGTGCTGGGCGAGGGTCACCAGGGAACCCAGCAAGCGTATCTTCCCGAAGGCCTGGATTCACCAGCGCCCCCCAGCCCTAAATCCTAAACCCGAAACCCTAAACCCTAAACCCTAAACCCTAAACCCTAAACCCTAAACCCTAACCCTAAACCCTAAAGCGCATCTTCCCGAAGGCCTGGATCAAGACCGTCCCAAACTGGAGCACCAAGACTTTCAGCACGTAGTGGCTCCCGCGTAGCCCGAAGTAGCGCTCCTCAGAGCACTCTCGCATCTGAAGTAGAGGTTGTATTACATACATCTATATACATATATATATATATATACATATATATATACATATATATATATATATACACCCATATCTTTTATATATATACACCCATATCTTATATATATATACACCCATATCCTATATATATATATACATGTACATATATACACCCATATCTTATATATATATATATATATATATATATATATAAGGAACCCTGTGCATGAAAACCTCAGCCAGGCAGCATAGAGCACTTGTGTGGGTCTGGCCCTCTTCTTGGTCGCGGCGACGGTGCCGGGAAGTAGCTCGCAGGCAAAGACGACGACCAAGACTGCATAGGGCAATGAGAGCAAGATGGCCTTCGGAGGCTTCTTTCTCCACCTACCTTTTGGGGGGTTTAGGGTAGGGTTTAGGGTTTAGGGTTTAGGGTTTAGGGTTTAGGGTTTAGGGTTTAGGGTTTGGGGTTTGGGGTTTGGGGTTTAGAACTGTCGAGCGGAGCACCTTGTGGCAGGGTTTGTGGTCCCTAGTGACTCTAGCGCTTACAGAGGTTGTCTGGAAGAACCTCTTGAGCGAAAACATAAGATGTCACCAAGGTCCTACCCCTAAACCCTAAACCCTAAACCCTAAACCCCAAGGTCTCAACCCGATAGAGGGCGACAGATTCGCCTCCTCCCAGCTATCCTGATCCGTCGTGACGTGGAGCAGGAACGTGGCTCGCAGCAGTTGTGCTGGCAGTCTGGCTCGGAACCTGCACGGGAGACGTCGGGGGCCCGGTTGTGGTTCTTGCCCAGACTTGTCACTACTACTGCACAAGGCAGGAACTGTTACTCCCCAACCCTAAACCCTAAACCCTAAACCCGAAACCCTGAACCCTGAACCCTAAACAACCCTAAACCCCTAAACCCTAAGCCGCAGCACGGCGCGCGAGCGTCTCGCGCCTGGCAGGGGCGTAGCGCAGGAAGTACTGGGTCGCCAGGAAGAGGGCGCTGAGGAGAGCCACGAGTCGCAGCAGGAGGACGGCGGCGCTGACGGAGAGCAGCTGGGGAGGCTCCGGCAGCCTCGAGGAAGGAAGGGTCTGAGGATCCCCAACAGCGTGGGGGTCCCAGAGAGGGAAAAGAGAGAGAGAGAGAGAGAGAGAGAGAGAGACACACACACACACACACACAAAGACAGAGAGAAATAGAGGAAAGAAGAGAGAGAGAGGTCTACATATAGCTATGTGTCTATATATATATATATATATGCATATATACAGATATGTAGATACATCTACCCATAGTGAAACTACATGAGGCTCAGGGGCCTTAAACCACAAAACCCTACAGCGACAAAAGCTCATAGCCCTGAAGACCTACACCCCACAACCCCCAACCCGCCACCCCCAAGCTCCAACCCCGAAAAATCCTGAACCCCCAAGTCCCACTCCCTCAACCCTAAACCCCCTATATTCCCAAACCCTAAACCCTAAACCCTAAACCCCAAACCCCAAACCCCAAACCCCAAACCCCAAACCCCAAACCCCAAACCCCAAACCCCAAACCCCAAACCCCAAACCCCAAACCCTAAACCCTAAACCCTAAACCCCTTCAGGGGCCTCTGAGATGTCTCCCACTGCGCGGGCTTCGCCTCGTCCAGAAGGCCGAAGGAGTTGGCCTAGGGGGGGAGGGGGGGGGGGGGGGGGGGTTTAGGGGTTCGGGTTTAGGGTTTAGGCAGATTGGGTTTAGAGGGTCATGAGGGTTACTAGGATTCTAATTACAGGGGTTCGGACCCATAGAAACTCAAAAATAAACAAATAAATGGATTGACAAATAATAAACAAATAACAATAATAATACTAATGATAATACTAGTAATACAAATACGAGTAATCATAAACACAAAGAACTAACAATAAAATAATGGTAGTAATCATAAGAATAAGAAGAAGAAGAACTGACAAAGACTTCGGTTCTGAATCACCCCAAGTTGGCCAGCTTGTACATCTCATCGAGGCCGCTCTCGAGCCTTTTTGTTTGCGGGTTGAGGGTTTAGGGTTTAGGGTTAGGGGTTTAGGGTCTTCGGGTTTAGGGTTTAGGGTTTAAGGTTATTAGGGTTTTGGGTTTAGGGTTTAGGGTTTAGGCTTTAGGGTAGTTAGGGTTTTGGGTTTAGGGTTTAAGGATTGGGTTTTGGGGTTTTGGGGCTTGCGTCTTTGGCGCTTGGGTCTTGGGAAATCGCATTAAGTCTACATTGCCCAAGCAAGAAGCGACCCAAGCTCCCCGCAATCCCCAAGCCCCAAACGATCCTAAACTCTGAACCCTAGTCCCAAACCCCATAACCCTAAACCCTACACCCCTAAACCCCCCAAAGGCCTTAATCCCCAAACCCTAACCAGTCCTGGACAACGAAGCATCGAGGAGGAAGACGGATGACAAGTAGCTCTGGTGCGAGATGACGACCTCCCGCATCCACTCTGTGACAAGGTTTAGGATTTAGGGTCCAGGGTTTAGGGCTTAGGGCTTTGGGTTTAGGGTTTAGGGTTTAGGGTTTAGGGTTTAGGGTTTAGGGCTCTCAAGTGGGGTTGAGGTGTGGTGTGACGCGCACCTGGCAGCAGGCACGGTTCCTGAGCTCTGCAAAGCCGTCGTGAACGGCCGCAATCTGGAAGCAACCGCTGCTCTCCTCGCTTTCAAGTCTCACCTGGCGCAAGTTCCCAAAAGGGTTTAGGGCTACCCTACACCTTAAACCCTAAACCCAAATCCCTAAGCCCTAAACCCTAAAGGGTTATATAGGGTGCGGGGTGTAGGGCGTAGGGGTGTAGGCTTTAGGGCTTCCCAATGGCTCGAAACATCCAGACAGTCAGTGACCCCCTTCTGGCCTTCAGGGCATGCAGCGCCGCCTGCACCTCGAGCGCAGGAGGGAGGAGAACCATTTGGGTGGTAGGATTTACGAACCCTAAACCCTAAACCCCAAACCCTAACCCCTAAACCCTAAACCCTAAACCCTAAGCCCTGATCGCCCTCGGTGCTGCACCTGCGTCAGGCCATCGCACTGCACCTCACAGCTGAGGACATCCACGAGCTGTTTGGGCCCTTGGCCGGCTGCAGGGCTCATAAAGGGATTGCGAGGGTCTTTAGGGGATCGCAAAAGGAGAAAGAGAGACAGTGCCAGAGAGAGAGAGAGGTACGTAAGCGTGTTTAGACATATACATATATATATACATACAGACATATGCGCATATATATATATATATATATATATATAGATAGATAGATAGATCTATATCTGTATCCAGATCTATATCTATATACACACATACACACATACACACATACACACATACACACATACATACATACATACATACATACATACGTACATACATACGTACTAAGCCTAGACAAGTGGGTAAGCAAGCAGACAAATAGAATCAACCTACAAATGTATGTGTAAATAGAATTATATATAGAGAGAGATAGATAGATAGATAGATAGATAGATAGATAGATAGACAGACAGAGAGATAGATGGACAGACATATGCTATGTATGTCTGTACCTCTCTATATATGTGTCTATATACCAGTTTACATAAGCTTCTATAGGCTATTTTTTTGCCAAGACGCCCTGCCGCTCCCGTGAGCTGAGGTCCGTGAGGAGCCGAATCTTCGCCTTCGCCGAGGCGCCCGGAACTTCTGCCAGCGCGGCCCGCACCGCCCGCCTTGCATCGGTTTAGGGTTGAGGGTTTAGGGTTGAGGGTAGTTGAGGGTTGAGGGTTGAGGGTTGAGGGTTGAGGGTTGAGGGTTGAGGGTTGAGGGTTTAGGGTTTAGGGTTTAGGGTTTGGCTTAGTGCAACGTTGTATTGCCCATCCTACAATGGACTACGATCGTAGTATAGGATGCTGTCATGTAAACAATGTAACATGTACTGGTAATGTAATGCAAAATGTGATGTGTGACATAGCGTAGCAGAATAGCATGCACCACCCCACACCCTAAAACATTGAACCTAAACCCTAAAAAGTAGAACCTAAACCCTAAACTCTAAACCCTAATTTCTGGCATCGAGCACAGGGTGGCACATTGAAACCTCTGCAGCAGAGCGGCTCGAAGTGCGGCAAGCGGCGCCTTGCTTCGGCGTAGAGGTCTCTCCTTAAGGCACTAGGACAGGAGGAGACACGGGGTTGAGAGTTTAGGTTTAGGGTTTAGGGTTTAGGGTTTAGGGTTTAGGGTTTAGGGTTTAGGGTTTAGGGTTTAGGGTTCAGGGTTCAGGGTTCAGGGTTCAGGGTTCAGGGTTTAGGCTGAACCCTTTAAAGGACGTAAGGGCCCATATCAAGGCGCGAATGAAATTACCCTTAGACTAGAGGTCTCTCCTTAGGAGAAGACCCCCTTTTCGGGTTGAGAGTTGAGAGTTTAGGGTTTTTTTGGTTTAGGGCCCAGGGCTTGGGGTTTAGGGTTTTGCGGAGATTCAGGGTTTAGGGTTTAGGGTTTAGGGTTTAGGGTTTAGGGTTTAGGGTTTAAGGTTTACGGTTTACGGTTTAGGGTTTAGGGTTTAGGGGCACCTCCTCGAAGTCGACGGGTGAGTGGCCGGACACCCCGAGCAAGAAGCCCTGCTCGAACACTGTCGAAACCCTAAACCGGGGTTTAGGGTTTAGGTTTTAGGGTTTAGGGTTTAGGGTTTAGGGCTTAGGGTTTAGGGTTTAGGGTTTAGGGTTTAGGGTTTAGGGTTTAGGGTTTAGGGTTTAGGGTTTAGGGTTTAGGGTTTAGGGTTTCGGGTCACAATACTCTGGAGCTGTCCCAGCCTCGGAGAAGCCAACACAGTGGCCCAGATGTGGCTACTGCTTTGTGTTGTTGGGATATCTCAGAACTGAAGCTCAGTCCGACAGAACTAGCCAGGACTAGGTTGGCCTTGAAACCCTTTGATTTTTCATTTTTAGGGTCCCTTGTAAAACCAAAGAAGGAAAATACAAAATGTCCAAAAGCCAACCTAGAACACTAAAAAAGAAACTGCAAGCGACAGTAGTGCCCACCGTGCTCACCAGCTTCAACACACTTCTGGGCTTGTGGTTTGGGGACTCTGGGGACCCCTTTGCAAGATGCCCTGACCCGAAAACCCGAAGAGCCGAAGACCCTAAGGCCCCAAACCCCTAAAACCGCTAAAATCCCTGAGGCCCTAAGGCCCTAAACCCGCAACCCTGAACTCTCAAAAGACCTCAACCCTAAGACCCTAAGACCCTACAACCCCTAAACCCCTAAACCCTAAAACCGAAAACCCTCAAACCCTAAACCGCAAACCCCAAAACCTAAACCCCAAACTCTCAAAAACCCTTAAACCCTAAAACCCTGAAAAACCCTCACCTCCAGTCAAGGCTCAGAGAGTCCGTCTCCTGTAGGTGTCCCGCGTCTGCCGCCCGCCCGTCGCCGTCATCGCGGCCGAAGCCACCGAAGTCGTAGTCATTGGACAGCGTGGAAATGCCTGGACAGCGTGGAAATGCCTGGGGTTTAGGGTTTGGGGTTCGGGGTTTAGGGTTCAGGGTTTGGGGTTATTTAGGGTTTTATATAGGTTTAGGATTTAGGGTGTAGGGTGTAGCCCTCTGTGAGGATCCTACCTGCGATCCTCTTCGAGCCCCAGTAGTTTGAACACGCGTTGTGTTCTTGGGTTTGGGGACCCTTGTTAAAGAGCACCCTAGGGGTACAACCTTAGGGGCACGAGTCTTAAGCCCGTGTGAGAAACCCTGAACCCTAAACTCGAAACCCCAACCCCACCAAGCGATAGCCTTAAACCCTAAACCCTAAACCCCAAACCCTAAACCCTAAACCCTACACCCACCTACCATCAACCCCCTAAACCCTAAACTACTATTTGCTTAAAAACCCCAAAAAGACTATAAAAACAACAATCCCTATATGACCCTCAATAAGGAGGAATATTTTTTGCGCGGTTCTTAAGCAATTCGTAGCCTAAACCCTAAACCCTAAACCCCCACCTTAAACCCTAAACCCACCGAGTTGCGAAGCATGTTCGGAGCGCTCGGGGCTCTGCCCCGAGCTCCTGGCATCGGAAGCTCTGCGCGGATCACCTGGGCGCGTGGTGGAACAAGAGGCCTTGGGTTTAGGGTTTAGGGTTTAGGGCTTAGGGTTTAGGGTTTAGGGTTTAGGGTTTAGGGTTTAGGGTTTAGGGTTTAGGGTTTAGGGTTTAGGGTTTAGGGTTTAGGGTTTAGGGTTTAGGGTTTAGGGTTTAGGGTTTAGGGTTTAGGGTTTAGGGTTTAGGGTTTAGGGTTTAGGGTTTAGGGTTTAGGGTTTAGGGTTTAGGGTTTAGGTTTAGGGTTTAGGGTGCTTTGGGTTTAAATTAGGGATTAGGGTTTAGGGGGTTTAGGGTTTAGGGGGTTTAGGGTTTTGGGGTTTAGGGTTTAAGGTTTAGGTTTTGGGGTTAGAGTTTTAGGGTTGAGATAGCAGACAATCTCACGAGTTGTTCGAACGTTGCGACCAAGGATATGCACGCTTCTGCCAGACAGAATGATCTTTTTGACCAAGCTTGCAAGATTTCAACTTTGCAACAGCAGACTTTGGGATGTTCCCCCTCGTACCAACAGTCCTTAATTCGTAGGGATTATACTAGGGGTACGAGAATCCCGATTAGGGGCTGCTAGTACAAGGTGAACATCCCCAAGCAGACTTGACAAAGTGACAACAAGAGTTCAACAAAACTAAACGAGCAAGAAGGCGCGAATCAAAATCCAAATCCGACGAAGCATCAAGCTGTAGTTAACAAGTCAAAGATTTAAAAAAACACACACACACACACACACACACACACACACACACACACACACACACACACACACACACACACACACACACACACACACACACACACACACACACACACACACACACACACACACACACACACACACACACACACAAAAACACACACACACACACACACACACACACACACACACACACACACACACACACACACACACACACACACCACACACACACACACACACACACACACACACACACACACACACACACACACACACACACACACACACACACACACACACACACACACACACACACACACACACACACACACACACACACACACACACACACACACACACACGCGCGCGCGTGGTAATTAGGGAAAAGCAGAGGCCATCGTTGTGGGGCTTTGGACGTAACCCTAAACCCTAAACCCTAAACCCTAAACCCTAAACCCTAAACCCTAAACCCTACATCATGTGAAAGTTACCCAAGATTTGGCATCCCCAGCATTTGGGCCCCTTGTGAAGAGGGATTCTGTTGATTTTTTGGAAGGGGGCGGGGGGGGAAGGGGGTACAAAGGGCATGCTAGATCCTAACTTTTCTTGGGAAATCCCAAAAGTCAGACGGCTAAATCGAATGCGGGCTGTCTGCCATGTCAAACAACTGGCTGGTTGTTAGCAGGGAATGCGGGAACGAGGTACCCTGCATAATCCTTGTGTAGGGCCCTAATTCCCTCATTCCCTATTAAGCGCCAGGGGGGCCAAAAGCCCAAAACAGCAGTGTATGGCTTTGCGAGCTGAAGCACTTTGGCATACTTGGCTTCCATGGACAGCGCCAGTTGCAAGGCAACCTGCTGCATCCGATCGAACTGCTTCCACGTCCATGCCAAGCTGCCTTGGGCGAACTGAGATTTGGGTTTGGAGTTCAGGGCTCAGGGGTTCGGGGTTCAGGGTTATACAAGGGTTTGGTGGTTTAGATTTAGGGTTTAGTTTAGGGCTTAGGGCTCAGGGCTCATGATTTGGGCAAACCGAGATTCGCGAAGCCCTGCGAAGGAGCATGAGGGTGCTTCGGGATTTGGGTTCAACCAAGTGTGCGAGGCACTTCAGCTGCTGAACGGATGCTTGAACATCAAACCCTAAACCCTAAACCCTAAACCCTAAACCCTTAGCCTAAACCCTAAACCCTAAACCCCAAGACAAGATACCCAAGCCGACGACAGAGAGAGTGGCGGCGATGTAACCTGCGGAGGCGGAGGTGCTGGGTACTGTCAGCGACCAGAGCGCTGCCAGGTACCTGTGGAAGGTTTAGGGTTTGGGGTTTGGGGTTTGGGGTTTGGGGTTTAGGGTTTAGGGTTTAGGGGTTCTGGGGCTTCGGATCTTCAGGGCTCAGCGCTGATTCACGCCAGGCAAGAAGACGTGTCAAAGTCCGCAACGGACTTCAAAGTCAAGAACCCTCACACGAGAGCGCGTAATAGGGTGCCTCTGCTAAGACTCTCTTGAAAAGGCGAAAGGACGGCCCCAATCAGAAGCCTAAGTTGGCAATAACCCTCCCAGGCGTCAGCTGAATGCAGCCTAAGGAACAAAGATACGAGGATGGCCAGCCTTGCTGGGCTGGTGCTTGTAAGGGGGGAGTGTGGGGCGGGGAGTGAGCTCAACCCCAAAACGCAGCTAGGATAGTGTCCCTAAAATGAACCCCATGTAGGCGCTTTAATATTGGGCATTTAGGGCCGAGAAACCCCAATTTTCAAGGTCTGCATGGGGGGTTTCTCTTCTGAAAGCAAGCAACAGCACGGTTCGGCTTTCGATCTCGGCGGCGGCCTGTGCGAGGAAGAGCATCACCAGCTCTAGCCAGCGCCAGACCTGAGGCCACCCTTTTTTGGCACACATTGCTACCGTCTGTATAAAGCCTTGATGCAAATACAAAACCTGCATGTCATGCACACATATACGTATGCATGTGTATATATACACACATGTGTGACAAGCAGGTGTTTTGCTAAAAGCATCCCCCGAGGGACACCTCAAATAATGTCCTACAAACACTCACCCACAAACCGCGACTGAAACCCTAAACCCGACCTCAATCTGCGGCAAATCACGATTGAGACCCTAAACCCTACCTCAATCTGCGGCAAATCACTATTGAAACCCTAAACCCTCCCTCAATCTGCAGCAAAGCAGCCATGAGACAGCCAGATGTGAGTTTCCGGCCACGGCCCTGCCAGTAATGCCGCTGGCAGAAGCCGCGGAGGTCATCGTGGAAGGTTTCACAGCCAGGATGGCTGCAGGGATACGGCAGGTCCTAGTGGGCTTCGGAATGCTTAGGGTTTGGGGCGTAGGGCTTAGGGTTTAGCGTTGAGGGCTTAGGGTTTAGGGTTTTGGGTTTAATTAGGGTTTAGGGTTTAGGGTTTAAGTATAGGGCATTTCTTTTCTTGGGGAACGCATGGTGCGTTCATGCCCAGTCCTCGGCAGATGCCTCCGCAAGGCCCACCGGACTGGAACCTCGCGGGCCGCAACGAGTTCAAGCCCAGGCAAGGGGCGGTGGCAGGGTCAGGGCCGTAGATTGATAAAGTTTAGGGTTTAGGGTTGAGGGTTTAGGGTTTAGGGGTTAGGGTTTAGGGTTTAGGGTTTAGGGTTTAGGGCTTTGGCACAAATGGCACACAGGAAAGGTCTTGGGTTGAGTACTGAGCTCCGTGCTCGACGGCTCTTCGGCCTGCGTGTCCTGCGACAAACTTGAACCACTTCTGAGCCCTGAACCCTTTTAGGGTTTAGGGTTTAGGGTTTAGGGCTTAGGGTTTAGGGTTTAGGGTTTAGGGATTAGGGCTTAGGGTTTAGGGTTTAGGGGTTAGGGGTTAGGGTTTAGGGTTTAGGGTTTAGGGTGCTTTGGGTTTAGTGTTTAGGGTTTAGGGTTTAGGGTTTAGGGTTTAGGGTGCTTTGGGTTTAGGGTTTAGGGTTTGGGGTTTAGGGTTTAGGGTTTGGGGTTTAGGGTTCCTAACAGTCCTTATTAAGGATTAGCATAGGGGTACAAAAATCCCTGGTAAGGACTGTTGGTATAGGGGGGGAACATCAAAACCTGAACCCCAAAAAACACCTATATTACTTTTTCTGGGTACCCTAAACCAGAGGGGCCGCCGTACAATAAGGACCCCGATTTAGGGTTTAGGGTTTAGGGTTTGGGGTTTAGGGTTTAGGGTTTGGGGTTTAGGGATGATTTAGAGAACTCACTGTATATAAAGCCACGAACCCAAACAAGAGTCCGGCGATCACCCCGAGCTGCGAACCCTCAACCCTAAGCCCAAAACCTTCAACCCCCTCACCCCAAACCCCCAAGCCCTAAACCCCCAAACCCCCCCCCAAACCCTAAACCCCCAAACCCGAACCCCCTAAAGCCCCTAAACCCCGACCTCGCTCAGAGGCGTGCTACAGCATCGGGCGCCGCCGCAGAGAGCCAACAAAGCCGCTGGAAGCGACCAGGTGTTGGTGTCCTCTGGGTGGGGAGGTGCCGGGCATAGGCTTTGGGGTTTTGGGTTCAGGGTTTGGGGTTTGAGGTTTAGGGTTTGGGGTTTGGGGTTTTGGGCTCAGGGTTAGATTAAGTTTTGGGGTTTGGGCCGGGGCTTTGGGGCGTAGCAGGATTTCGTAGTGTAGGGCTGAGTGTCGAGGGCTTCAGGCGGGGTAGGGGTTTGGGGCTTGCTGACAACTAGCGTGCACATCTAAGATTCCTGTTTTGCCCAAGCTTTGGTAGCTAGTGGCAGGAAAACCAATGATGAGGCAAAACCTAAACCCGAAACCCGAAACCCTAAACCCTAATGGTTTGTCTGAAGTTGTCCCATCGCACGAACTCCAACGGAGGAGCCCAACCCCAAACTCGAAAACCCCAAGCCCTCAAACCCTCAAACCCTCAAACCCTCAAACCCTCAAACCCTCAAACCCTCAAACCCTCAAACCCTCAAACCCTCAAACCCTCAAACCCTCAAACCCTCAAACCCTCAAACCCTCAAACCCTCAAACCCTCAAACCCTAAACCCTAAGCCCTAAGCCCGAAACCCTAAACTCAGGCTTGAAACCAAACTGCGCCAAAAAAAACATGCCGCAAACCCTTGACCCTTCAAACCCAAAACTTGGGATGTTCCCCCCTTGTACTAACAGTCCTTAACAGGGATTATAACAAAGGGTACTCTAACCCCTATTAAGTATAAGGCGGAACCCTAAACCCTAAACCCTAAACCGTCAACCCTTCAAACCTTCAAACCTTAAAAACCCAAAACCCAATCACCCAAAACCCATAAACCCTAAACCCTAAACCCTAAACCCTAAACCCGAAACCCTAAACCCTAAACCCGGAAGCCAAACATTAAAAGCCACCATGCGGGGTGCGGGGCCCCAGCCTCGATATGGATCCAGGCGTCCACCCTCCAACGCCAGCTCCTCCACCATTTTGCTTTATGCGGTTTAGGGTTTAGGGTTTAGGGTCACTTAGTTTAGGGTTTAGGGTTTAGGGTTTAGGGTTTAGGGTTTAGGGTCTAGGGTTTACCGTTTAGGGTTTAGGGTTTAGGGTTTCGGGCCTAGGGTCTAGGGTTTAGGGTTTAGGGTTTAGGGTTTTAAGGTTTTAAGGTTTGAAGGGTTGAGGGTTTAGGGTCTAGGGTTTAGGGTTTAAGGTTTAGGGTGAACCACCCAAAAATCTCAAAACATTCTTCCTTATAAGGGCAATATAGTGATCATTATTCTGTATGTTTTGGGCGGTTCTTACGCACACATTATAGGGTGTTTAAGGGAGGGGGTTCAAGGGGGTGTGTACCCCAACCCCCCGAAGGCTACCCCCATGAACCCCCTCCCTTAAGAACCCTATAAGAATAGTAGTCCTCGGGTGTTTCAAACTTCGTGCTGCATCGTACCTGGCTTCAGGGGTTTGGGGTTTCAGGGTTTTCGAGGCTTTTGATGGATTTTTGAAGGCTTGTTGAAGGTTTTTGAGGAATTGTTGAGGGATTTTAGGGGCTTTAGGGTTTTTCGGGTCTTTCAGGGTTGAGGGTTTGAAAGTCAGGGATGCTTGGGGCCAAAGCTTTGGGAATAATTACGAACAATCCTCCCTTGTGGTCCCTCTGTCATTGTACTACCATAACTAAACCCCAAACCCCAAACCCTAATCCCTAAACCCTAAACCCTAAACCCTAAACCCTAAACCCTAAACCCTAAACCCTAAACCCCATCAGCACCTAAAAAAAGCTCATACCTCTCTGCAGCCTCGCCGCAGCTGCTGCTTGGACTCCACAGGCACGTTGGGGCAGCCACTGAGGTGCAGCACCAGCTCTTCCAGGCTCAGCTTCGCGAGGGCCTGTTTAGGGGATTTAGGGTTTAGGGTTTAGGGTTTAGGGTTTAGGGTTTAGGGTTTAGGGTTTAGGGTTTAGGGGTTAGGGCTCCAGGGATTCTACCTTGGACCCTTAAGGTGGTACCCTTCTTGGGTTTTGGGGGTCCCCTTTTTCAGGATCCCTTACAGAATATAAGGGCTCTATTCGGAGTATACTAAGGGGGACCCTCAGGGGCACAACTTGGGATTATGATAGGGGGTACGATGATAATCCCGATTAAGGACTGTTGGTATAAGGGTGAACATCCCTAAACCCTAAACCCTAAACCCTAAACCCTAAACCCCAAACCCTAAACCCTTTTCAGGACTCTTAGCATAAGGGAGAACATCCCAAGGTACAACCTTAGGGGTACGAGTCTTCATCCGCGGGCCTGGCTCAAGGGGCCCAGCTGCACCAGCGACCTCCGGGATAAGGGATTTGGGGATTTGGGGGTTTAGGGTTTAGGGTTTGGGGTTGAGGGTTTAGGGTTTAGGGTTTAGGGTTTCGGGTTTGGGGTTTGGGGATTGGGGTTTGGGGTTTAGGGTTTAGGGTTTAGGGTTTAGGGTGTCCCTCGTTCAGCTCATTCATCCATCGTCTTCCTCTTGGTGAATAGCAGGACTGAAGGAATCGTGAAACAAACGCTTGCACGATCATGCCACATCATAGCCCTCTTCAGCATTCAAACCCTAACCCTAAACCCTACAACCCAAACCCTTAACCCTTAACTTCCCTAAACAAACCCTCAAGCCTCAACCCGCCCCCCACCCCCCCCCCCCCACCCCCCCACCCCCCCGCAAAGAAGAAAGAGAACCCACCCCCCCCCCCCCCCGCAAAAGAAAAAGAGAAACTTTCCTTGCCGGAGCACGGGAGGTTCGAGAACCAGAGGTGCAGCCTTACATCTCCGACAACCAAGGAAAACATAAGCTTAAACTTCGTTCTATCCTCCAAGAGAGTTACCCTAAACCCTAAACCCTAAACCCTACACCCTAAACCCTAAACCCTAAACCCTACTTACACCCAAAACATCCCAAAAGGGTTTCAAAGCTCCCCCCTCTCCTCGCTTGAAGCAAAGCAGCAGCCGAAGCCCCGGGGCCAGGGCCGGGCAGAGGCCTTTGGCGTCCCGGAGCCGGGAGCCCGTGAAGCGCAGCATCAGCTGCGTCAAGTTGGGCATCTCGGGGGGGGGGGGGGGGGAGTATGGGGTTTAGGGTTTAGGGTTTAGGGTTTAGGGTTTAGGGTTCAGCTGCGTCAAGTTGGGCATCTCAGGGGCTTTCAGGGGCAGTTTGGGGGCGGTTAGGGTATGCGGTGGGGAGTTTGGGGTTCAGGGGTTGAGGGAGTTTGGGGTTTCGGGTTTGGCTTAGGGCGGGACTTTGGCCTTCGGTACTACATTTTTCAAGAAACCCTAAACCCTAAACCCTAAACCCTAAACCCTAAACCCTAAACCCTAAACCCTAAACCATAGCCTCATATAACTTTGGATGCTCTGCACTCTGGCTGCAGCGCAGAGCAAGCCACAGCAGCAAGAGGCTGCTACTTGAAGCCACAAGCTCATAAGCAAGAATGCTATCCACATGGCAAGCTACCCTAAACCCTAAACCCTAAGCCCTCAACCCTCAACCCTAAACCCTGAACCCTCAACCCTAAACCCTCAACCCTAAACCCTAAACCCTAAACGCCGGGACCTCCGGGAACTCGACGTGCTCGATGGCCGTGAAGCCAAGGTCCAAGCGGAGAACAGACAGCCGCCTTCTCGCAGGGGAAGGGTTTAGGGTTTAAAGTTTAGGGTTTAAGGTTTAGGGTTTAAGGTTTCGGGTTTAGGGTTTAGGGTTTAGGGTTTCGGGTTTCGGGTTTAGGGTTTAGGGTTTAGGGTTTCGGGTTTCGGGTTTAGAAAGGGGTGCTTGGGTGTGCCCACCCAGTCAGGTCTAGGGATTTGGGTTTTAGGATTTTGTGGGGTTTAGGGCTTAGGGCACGGGTTTGTGGGGCTTAGGGTTTTGGGCTTAGGGTTTAGGGTTTAGGGTTTCGGGTTTGTGGGGTTTAGGCTCAGGGTTGAGGCTTCTGGCCTGGGCATGCTCTGAAGCAGCATCTGGAGCTCCAGGTCCCGGAGTTGCAAGCCCGTCAGGGACAGCTCCACCACGCGCCGGGACTGGTCTGCGGCCAAGGCCTCCAAGAGCCTGGGGGAGAGAGTTTGGGGTTTTCGAGGTTTAGGGCTTCTGGGATTTTAGGGTTTAGGGGTTTAGGGTTTAGGGTTTAGGGGTTTAGGGTTTAGGGTTTAGGGTTTAGGGTTTAGGGTTTAGGGTTTAGGGGTTTAGGGTTGTAGGTTTGTAGGGTTTAGGGTTGGACCCTATATTTACACGGATGAAGCCAGACAGTGACAGTCAGCTGTGCGGAGTGCGAGCTCTTTTTTCTCAACGCCCTGACTTTGATTCAAACTCGCGTTGCCTTCTACAAGCAACCCCAAGCCCCAAACCCCCTAAACCCTAAACCCTAAACCCCAAACCCTAAACCCTAAACCCTAAACCCTAAACCCTAAACCCCAAACCCTAAACCCTAAACCCCAAACCCTAAACCCCAAACCCTAAACCCTAAACCCCAAACCCTCGGAGCCTTGTGGTGTCTTCCCCCTGCGCCACAGCCCCGAAGAAGGCGGCCAGGGCAAAGTGCGAGGCCAGGGCCTGGTTCCTGGGTTTCTCTAGGGTTTAGGGTTTAGGGTTTAGGGTTTAGGGTTTAGGGTTTAGGGTTTAGGGTTTAGGGCTAAGGGTTTAGGGCTTAGGGTTTAGGGTTTAGGGTTCCTAGGTTTACTAGGCTTAGGGTTTGGGGTTGAGGGTTCACGGTTCAGGGTGTTGGGTTGTGGGGTTTAGGGTTTTGGGTTTTGGGTTTTGGGTTTTGGTTTAAGGCCTGGGCTGAGGATCTATTCCCCATGGCCGAGGCACACGGCATCGTAGTTGGGATGCGTGGCGGGATAGCTTTCGGACAGGGACTGCCGGGCAGCGTGATGTGCGATGCAGCACGGGGGGGCAGAGCGTTACGGTTACAAGGGCCCTTTGTTGGGACGTTCCCCCTTGCACTAACAGTCCTTCATAGGGAATACAGTACCCCCGAGTATACTGCGGCAGGGCGAAAGTTCGTCGCACACACAACATAAGACAAGAAGACAGCAGAAGACCCCCTCTCCCCCTTAGACTCCTGCACTCCAAGAGCGCGAGGTCCTCCTCCGGAACAATTCAGATAGTATAAGTTTATTCCAGGGGCTTGATTCCTCCGCTGGCCAGGCTATGATGCAGTACTCCGCTGTCCTCCGTTGGCTTTGTCTTGTTAAGAGCGACGAAACTTTATTCCCTGTCATGTAATCCCTATTTAGGACTGTTAGTTTAAGAGGGAACATCCCAAGCCCTTCGTATGGGCCCTTCACTGGGGAGCCCGCTTAAGGCAGGTCAGGGACCGTGCTAAGGGAAATATGCCTAAACCCTAAACCCTAAACCCCAAACCATAACCCCTAAACCCTAAACCTTGAACCCTTTAAAGGAGGCAGTTGGCAGGTGACTGTCTGGGGACTGTCCGGGCCTTCGCACTGGCTCTGCGCAGGGCGATGCTTCGGAGGATCATGTGCTTGTCCTTACTTCTCCAACAGCTTAAGGAAGTTTAAAAAACAGAAAGTGGAACTCGACTTGTTCCTACAAAAAAGGGAATGTCAAACACAAAACACACACACACACAACAAATAAAACCGTTCTTCCAAAAAATGAAGCAAAAAGTTCATCGGCCAAGTGTCTTGCTGCACAGACGTGCTGGCATCCAGGATGTTGACGCCGAGGCCCTGAGGAGGGAGAGCCCTGTTTAGCTTCGCTTGCCCATGAAAACCCCCACTAAATACCCTAAATTGCCTGAATTCCCTGAAACCTCTAGATTCATTCTCCAAATGCCCCGAGATTCCCCTAAACACCCGAAATTTCCCGAAACCCCAAACCCTAAACCCTGAACCCTAAACCCTAAACCTTCTCCGGCCTTTTGCAGGATTTCCGTGGGGAAGCCGGCTTCTCGCGTAGACTTGGCCAAGAAGCCCAGCAGCGGCATCTGGCACCTGATGAACCCACGGGGCCCCGGCCCCAACATCATTCCTTTTGCATGGGTTTAGGGTTTAGGGTTTAGGGTTTAGGGTTTAGGGTTTAGGGTTTAGGGTTTAGGGTTTAGGGTTTAGAATTTAGGGTTAGGGTTCAAAAGGAATTTAAGGCTCAGAGCTTGGGGTTTAGAGGTTAGTGTTTAGGGACACGGAGATCGAAGACCATGGTATACCCCTTTTCAGAACCGTACAACTTAGGGCGGATTTGCTGATCCTGCAAAAACTACATGGGCGATGTGGTTTTTCCAGGATTCGGGCTAATGGAACTTTGACGCTTCTTCCACATCGACCTCAACACTAAAACCCTAAAAACCCTAAAATCTGAAAATCCAAAACCCTAAACCCCCCAACACCAAAAACCCTAAACCCTAAAGCCCACCCAAAACGGGAAGACCCCAAACCCTTAAAACCCTGGACCCCCCCCCCCCCCCAAAAAAAAAAAAAAAGGAAAAAGAAAATGTATATATATATATATATATGTTAACAAATAAAAACAAAAAACAGAGGCAGGACATCTGAGGGCATCTGAGGCCCCATAGAATCTAAGGTTGGAACCATGGGCCCTTCGTGTGGTCTCTTATCTCTTACCCGTGCACGGGGATTGTTAAAGGGATCCGAAGTATGGGCCCTTATTCTGCAGAGTGAATGTACGGGTTGTAGAACAGGGCACCCATATCAAGAGCTCAGCCCCAAACCCTAAACCCTAAACCCTATGGAAAGTGTAGCTCAGGCTTATATAACAGGGGACCCAAATCAAGGGCTAAGCCCTAAACCCTAAACCCTAAACCCTAAACCCCTAAACCCTAAACCCTAAACCCTAAACCCCTAAACCCTAAACCCCTAAACCCTCTAGAAGCTGGGCCGAGTACTGCTCGGGGCCAGCGAAGCCATCGGTGATGAGGTGAGCCTGGAGACTCCAGGGTTCCCCAATGCTCCCCGAGAGAGCCTTTAGGGTTTCGGGTTTCGGGTTTAGGGTTTAGGGTTTAGGGCTTAGGGTTTAGGGTTTAGGGCAAAGTTTAGGGTTTTTGGGGGTTGGGGGGTCTGGGTGTTTGGAGGTTTGGAGGTTTGGGGGTTTGGGGGTTTGGGGGCTTGGGGGTTTGGGGGTTTGGGCTTTTGGGGGTTTGGGGTTTGGGGGTTTGGGGTTTGGGGTTTGGGGGTTTGGGGGTTTGGGGGGTTTGGGGGTTCAAGTTCCGTAAAGGCGGCGCGAATAGGTTCCTTGGCACTGACTGTCAATTTGCGAACCGAACAATATAGAGGGCCAACGGAGCAACTCGGCTTGTCCAAGTTTAGCAACATTCGATAAAGGGAGGGGGAGCCTCGACGTGGGTGGCCCCGATTAAAAGCGTGTCCTTTGCGTACTCGATCGCAGAGTGCCTTTCCAACAGACCACGTGTTCTGCTGAGTCTGAAGCCTCGGGACGGGCGCGAAAGCCTCGTTTGAAGCTGCCAACAGCTGCCATATCCTCTTATGTTTGCATGGGGTCAGAATCAAAGCACACATTGTTCCGGATCCAGTCCCGCTTCTCCCTACGGGCGCGTCTTTTCGCTGGTAAACGGTGGTGTGGTCGACGTGGTTTGCCACGGGCTTGCCTTCTGGCCTCTGAAATTTGTTCTGCCAGGTCGGCACTAGTCTATGGTTCAGAAAGACAACGCTCACGTTTGGGGAAAGCGTGGCCTTACACGCGCGGGCGCGCGCGCGCGTGTGATGTATTGCCTTTTGCCAGCCAGAGAAGTGGGTCTCGGGTGTTTATGCTTTGGGTTTAAAGGGTTCACTGCTCATGGCTCATGCGGTCTGGGGTGGTCGGGGGTGACAGGCTTTAAGAAGACCCTAAACCCGAAACCCTAAACCCTGAACCCTAAACCCTGAACCCTAAACCCTGAACCCTAAACCCTAAACCCTAAACCAGCCTTTAAGTGAGCACAGGGAAGGAAGGAGGCCTTGTGCGAAGCATCCGTTGCGGCCACATCCAGTAGCAGGCGGCTAGTCCCGGCATCCCGCTCGCCGACCTGAGTCCAAAGAAGGGCCAAGGCGCGCAAAAAGAGGTTTAGGGCTTAGGGTTTAGGGTTTAGGGTTTAGGGTTTAGGGTTTAGGGTTCAGGGTGGGTTTAGGGTTTAAGGTTTAGGGACCACAAGAAGCGATGAGGGAAGCAGCGCGAGGGCACTAAATGCACTCCACTTGGCGCCGGACAACAATACTTTGCTCGAAGCAACACCATATGCGCTGAAAGGGCGTGGCATGCTCGTCCAGTATCAGAACGACTCCAACACACAACTGCATGGCTTTGAAGAATGAGGTCTTGCGGGGGTCGTCAGCAATCTCCGCACTCAAGTCATGCTGGTTGTTGGCGTAGGCGCAGATCCAATAGCTTGCCAGCCAACTTAGGCGTCTGAGCCGAACATGCTTCAGAAGACACGCCACGAACTGCACGACAGGCTCCAGCCACGCGTGGGACACAAACCAGCCGGGCAGTTGCGACGCAGCATCCGGGGCAACGAGCTCCACGTAACTGCAGCCCTTGCCATTCCGCAGCCCCTGCGTGGAAGGGCTGATCAGCCAGTAGTTGGCGTGATAGAGGTTGAAGCTTTCGGGTGTCAGAAGCTGCCCAAAGTGTGGACTTTGTGGGTGTGCTTCGTACCAGAACGGCGCACAGTCGGTAATGAAGTGGATGACCTTGGAGGCCGAATGAAGGCCTGCTTAGGGATCATTCTTATGCCCTATCCTGCCCTATACTACGACATTTACTAGAGTTCCCTACTAGGGTATTTGGGCCCTAAGCCCAAACCCTAAACCCGAAACCCCCTAACCCCTCCCCTTAGAAGGCATTCTTATACCCTACGAAATTCAGTAGTTGGTACAAGGGTGCCCCCCCTAAACCCTAAACCCTAAACCCCAAACCCTAAACCCTAAACCCTGAACCCTAAACCCTAAACCCTATAAACCCTATAAACCCTATAAACCCTATAAACCCTATAATCCCTAAGCAAAGGCACCTCCGAGAGCTGCCGGATCGTGATGCCGCGGCGCTCGGTGGGCATCTGGACATCCCCCCGCCTCGGCGGGACCAGCTCGGAGAAGCTCACCAGGGAGAAGGTCCTGATATCTATATATATATATATATTATTTTTATTATGATTATATTATATATATATATATATATATATCTTACAGTAGATGTTATTAATCCGCAAAAAACGTGTATATACATATACAGAGAGAGAGAGAGTATAGTACATGATATATAATGCATAAGATACAATGGTCCACAGTTGATTTTTTGGTTTAGGGTTTAATGCTCAGGGTCTAGGGTTCGTTTTCGTGGGTCTTTCTGTTCGTAACGATGTCTGTGATTCCATGAGGGTTGTAAAGCATAAAAACCTAAACCCTCCACCCTAAACCCTAAACCCTCAAAACCCTACACCCTGAACCCTAAACCCTAACCCAAAACCCTCGTGCTCGCCAGGCTTTCGGGGGCTGCTGTCCTGTACTCGCACTTGGTGCAGAAGCTGCCCAGCTCCGCGCCCGGCGCGAGCCTCTCAGCGCCCAAAGAGAGGAGAGCTCCAGCATGACTCGGCTCCCCGAGCGCGTGCCTTTCTAGGGTTTGGGATTTTTGGTTTGGGGTTTAGGGTTTGGGGTTTGGGGTTTAGGGTTTTTTGGGGTTTTGGGTATTTTGGGGTTTAGGGTTTGGGGTTTAGGGTTTGGGGTTTAGGGTTTAGGGCTTAGGGCTTAGGGCTTAGGGTCTAGGGTTTAGGGTTTAGGGATAGGCTCCCCGAGCGCGTGCCTCACTGCATCAATGGTCTCTGCCACGGTGGCATCCAGAAATGGGAAGTCCACGGCGCCTCTTTTGGGCACCCGGATCGTCGCCATCTTCAGAAAATGTTAATAACTGGTGAGCCAAGGCAGCGGAGCATTGAGATATGGGGGTTGTCGCTTAGCAGGGTCCTGCTCATAAGGGAATCCCACGATTTGGGGATCTATATTAGGAGTACCTTGCTTACAAAAAACCCGCATGTCTTTTCAAGACCCCGTTTCGGGGGCAGTCGTCTTTGGATTCTGGCCTTTTTCGGGTATCCTAAACCCTAACCCGAGGGCATGTCTTCGGGTAGTACGGGAAGGGTGGTTCCCCTCTACGAAACTCTTCAGGGTTTTGGGTTTCGGGTTTAGGGTTTAGGGTTTAGATGCGAAACCCTTGAACTCAACCTCATGTACCCTAAACCCTGAACCCTAAAACTCCGCATCCACGAACCGCTGTAGCCCCAAAAGCCCCAAAATGAAGAACCCTTAACCCCTCCTAAACCTTAACCCTGAACCCTAAACCCTAAACCCCAAACCCGACATCTTCAACTTCACAGACCTCTAAAACACCTCAAAACCCAAACCCTAAACCCTTAACCCCAAACCCCAAACCCTAAACCCCAAACCCTAAGCCCTAAACCCCAAGCCCTAAACCCCAAACCCTAAACCCAAAAAAACCCAAACCCTAGATCCTAACCCCAGAGGGTCGGAGTGTAAAGGGCTTAGGGTTTAGTAGGGAAAAAGCCTGTGAATGGTGCTCCACAAAACCTAAACCCTAAACCCTAAACCCTAAACCCCAAACCCTAAACCCTAAACCCCTCCCCGCCCCTTAGAGGGTGCTCCAAGCTGCCCTCACCCGGGCTAAAATGCACCACGAAGGAGTCGACCTGCGCCCGGCGCTCGTACACGGCATACTTCCTGGCTCGTAGGGTTTAGGGTTTAGGGTTTAGGGTTTAGGGTTTAGGGTTTAGGGTTTAGGGTTTAGGGTTTAGGGTTTAGAGTTTAGGGGTTAGGGTTTAGGGTTTAGGGTTTAGGGCTTAGGGCTTAGGGTTTAGGGTTTAGGGTTTAGGGGTTCAGGGTTTAGGGTTTAGGGTTTAGGGCTTAGGGCTTAGGGGTTAGGGGCTAGGGGTTTAGGGTTGAGGGTTGAGGGTTTAGGGTGGCTTACCTGTAGGGTTCACCTGCACAGTTTAGGGCCCGGGGGGTTGATTTTTGGCGTTTGAGGGTGTAGGGTTTAGGGCTCTAAGCAGGTTTCAGAGGATAGGGTTTGGTGTTTGAGGGGTTAGGGTTCGAGGGTTCCAGGAATAAAAGGATTAAACGGCTTCGGGGTTCAAGGACGTCAGGGCTGTTCTTTAAGGATGTGGAATTCTCGATGCCAAAAGTGACCCTACAAGTAAAACCCACAACCCTGGGACCAAAACTCCTTGTCACGGCGGCCCCCAGAATCTTCTCATAGAAATCTGCGGCGCCGGCCACCTCGAAAAACACTTCCAAGGGCGTTGGGCCTAAGGGCTTCAGGGTAGGGTTTGGATTTAGGGTTTAAGGTTTATATGCGTCCGCGTTCCGCGTAATCGACCCCCCCCCCCCCCGCCCCAATGGTACCCCACACAAACCCTGCCTGTTAACCCTAAAAACACCACGGACCACGGGGGGTGGGACAGAGAAACCCCAAACCCTGAACCCTGAGCCCTAAAACCTAAACCCACCAATGAACGACAGGAGGGAGAAGGGTAAACCCGAAACCTTAGCCGCTTTAACCCTGAACCCTGAACCGCAAACTCAGCACGAACCACAGGGGGGAGAGGGGAAACCGTAAACCTACCGTTCCCCCAAACCTTTGAACCCTGATTAAACTCTAAACCCACAGTGAACCTATGGACCAGAGTGAAAATCCTGACCTCTACAGCCTAACCCTAACCCCTAAACCATAAACCCATGAACCACAAACCGTGAACCACAGGGGGGGTGGGGGGGGGGATACCATGGGGGGAGGGCTTGGGGCTTCGCTTGAACTTAGAGGGCTTGTCGGGCTTTAGGGTTGTCGGGTTTTAGGCCGGGATTGTGGTAGCATAAACCCAAAGTTTCCCAGCACCGAAAGAAAACAGACTCCTTTGCCCAAACCCTAGACCTAAACCCTAACCCTAAACTCTGAACCTTAAAATCTGCCCCAGCACACCTCCCAAAACCCTAGGCGATAAACGCGAACTGCCCCAACCCCAACATTCACCGCCTTAACTTAGCACCTCTTGAAACCCTCCTTAAATCATGCATAAGGATCCATCTCTGGATATACTCGGTACATCATAAGCAAGGACCAAGACGCAGCCTTAGGGCATCAGTTCGAAGAAGTTGGAGTCCTAATTGTCTTCAAGGACGTACCCTTTGAGTCGAAACAGGGACCCTGGCCCAAAGCCCTAAACCCCCCTCACCCTCAAGCTGCTTGCGGCCCGAAGCCCTAAGCCCCAAACCCCAAACCCCGAACCCCAAACCGTGAACCCCAAGCCCCTAAACCCTAAACCCCAAGCCCCCAAACCCCAAACCCAAACTTAAACCCCAGCACCTAAACCCTAAACCCTAACCCCAAACCCTAAACCCTAAACCCTAACCCTCAACCCTAAACCCCAAACCCCCAACCCTAAACCCCAAACCCGGCCTGGTCGCGGTTCTTCAGCCGCACCACGGCAGCGCTCAGGCCGACGACGTTGGAAGGCGCAAGGCCTTCCTGGCTCGGGGTCTGGGGGTTCGGGTTTAGGGTTTAAACTTTAGGGGTTTAGGGTTTAGGGTTTAAGGTTTAGGGTTTAGGGTTTAGGGTTTAGGGTTTAGGGTTTAGGGTTTAGGGTTTAGGGTTTAGGGTTTAGGGTTTAGGGTTTAGGGTTTAGGGTTTAAGCATTAGGGTTTAGGGTTTTGGGTTTAGGGTTTTGGGTCTAGGGTTTGGGGGTTCAGGGTCTGGGGCTTAAATATGGTTCTCATCAGAGGACCCTGCCCTCCCGTTTCCAGATACTTCAGACGCGGACCCCTCTTCAAGCTGCTCTCCGACGCTTAAAGCCCGGTAAGTCCCCGGGCCCCAATGATATACCCGATGAATGATACAAACATGCTCCTTTTTTCTAACACTTTTTCTCCTTGACCATTCTCGCCAATGCTTTGCTAGGGAAGTACCTGCTACTTGGTTATTTTCGGAAGTTGCTATGTTGGTCAAGGACCACAAAAAGGATACTCGTCACCTCTCCATTTAAATGAGGGAATCAGGCCCCTTGATATACCCTTTAAGGGATTCCGTAGGGTACCTCATTCCCTCATTCCCTACTAAGAACCAGCCAGATTAAGGCACTCCTCCGACATCGCCTCCTTACCTGGCTCACTCAATAGCTGCAACTTCCACTTTCCCGCCACCGTGCACGCCTGCCGCTTACAGAGCTACCTCGCTGGTGCGCGTCGGTACCTCCTCCGTGCCGAGTTCCAGCAGCTAGCTGTCTCCAAAGATCCAGCCCAGCACGCTCGGCAGCACCCTGTGTATTACACCACTAAACCCTAAACCCTAAACCCTAAACCCTAAACCCTAAACCCTTCGAACCGTTAAGTTGATTCTCCAGGGCTCGGCACCGATCGAGGAAGTTGCGAGCGGGGTATTCGACATCTCGCTCTAAAGGTATGGGTTTAGGGTTTCTAAAGTTCAGGGTTTAGGGTTTAGGGCCACAAACCCAACGCCCTAAACCCCAAACCCTAAACCCCAAGCCCTAAACCCTAAACCCTAAACCCTAAACCTTAAACCCTAAACCCTAAACCCCAAACCCTAAACCCTAAACCCAAAGCAGCAGCCAAACGCAAGCCCTTGGACGAGAGTCGGAAGCTGGGATGGCTCGGATCTGGTCGGAGAAGCCCGCCGGGGCCTCGGAAACCTCGGCAAACACCACTTGGAGGTTGTTTAGGGTTTAGGGTTTAGGGTTTAGGGTTTAGGGTTTAGGGTTTAGGGTTTAGGGTTTAGGGTTTAGGGTTTAGGGCCTCGGAAACCTCGGCAAGCACCGGGCTTTTTTGCGACGGAGAATCTCCCACAATTTGGTTGGGGTTTTGGGGCTTGGGGTTTGAATGTAAAGTTCAGGGTTTGGGGTTTAAGGTTTAGGGTTTAGGGTTTTAGGGTTTAGGGTTTAGGGTTTAGGGTTTTTTTGGTTTGGCGTCCCTTTCCGTGGGCTGATGGCTTTGAATGTCTGGGCCTTCCTTGTGTCCAAAACAAGATTGCTAGGCCCATTTTAGGGTTTAGGGTCTAGGTGTTGGGTGCCTCCACTTCCCCAAGTCTCCTATTTTTCGAAAGCTTGTAGCTCGTTTAACAACACGCAAAACCCCAAACCCTGAACCCCTAAGCCCCAAACCTCCCCACCCAAAACCCCAAACCCTAGAACCCGAAGACCCCAAACCCTACAACCCCAACCAACCCCTAACCCCTAAACCCCAAACCCTGCAACCCCCCCTACACCCCAAAGCCATTCCCTTCCTCAAGCCCAAGAGCAGTGGACTTGAAGCTTGCTGGCTCTTTGGGTTTGGGTTTTAGGGTGTAGGGTGTAGGGTGTAGGGTGTAGGGTGTAGGGTGTAGGGTTTAGGGTTTAGGGTTTAGGGTGTAGGGTTTAGGGTTTAGGGTTTAGGGTTTAGGGGTTTACGAGTTAGGGTTTAGGGGTAAGGGTTAAGGGTTTAGGGTTTAGGGTTATAGGCTTCCTGTCACCCTGCAAACAAAAACGTGGGATAAACACACTCCCAACCCAGTAATGGAATGAACCCGGCCGAAGCAATACTTAAAGGAAGGTGGCAAACCCGAAAACCCTAAAAGCCCTGAAGCCGTAATTATAGTCCTTGAGGAGTTCATGGGGGATCGGCACCTAGGGAACTTTAGGGAACTTTAGGGAGCCTTAACCCCCTCCTTTAAGGACCCAAGAACCTAACCTAAAACACCCCCCAAAACCCGGAAGCCGCCTTCAAACCCTCAAACCCTCAAAGACTCGAACCCTAAAACCCTAAAACCACCTGCCCTAAACCCAAAAACCCCCAAAAACAAGCCTAACCCCTTAGCATCTGAAGCTCGTTGCGACGCTCCAGGGTCATCCTTTAGATCATGCCAGCTGCTCGAAGCGGTTCTGCCTAGGCAGTTCTTATCCGCAGATTGCGCCTCTTGCGTGGCTCAGCTGTCTGCATTCTCCAAGTAAAGCTCCTGGAGTCCTCCCTGCACAGAGGAGTCAAGGGGGAGTCTTCCCTCGCCAAGTGGCCGATTACACCATCTCTCCAACCCCTTCGGTAGGCCGCAGAAGGAGGCACCTCGCGCGCCGGCTGCGGCTGACCGCCTCCCCCAAGCGCCGGTGGGGACCGTCTTCGGGCGGCGATGGCTTGGGCTTGTTCTGGGCGGTCGGCCCCTGCGCTTGGGCATTGGTGCTCCGGCGTCCTTACGGGCACGGCCACCACCCGATCGCGAGGTGTGGCAGCGGGAGCGGGGGCGGGATCAGCCATTCCTAACACTAATCCTGAAATCCCTAAACCCCTAAATCCCTAACTCCCTGAATCCCTACGTCCCTAACTCCCTAAGTCCTAAACCCTAAACCCTAAAGCCTAAATCCCGCAACCCCTAACCCTAAACCCTAAACCCGAAATCCTGAATCCCTAAACCCCAAATGCCCTAAACCCTAAAACCGAAACCCCTAAACCCCCCCATCTCCCTAAACCCTAAATCCCTAAACCCCAACCCTAGACCCTAAACCCTAAAACCCGAAGTCCCTAAACCCCTAAACCCTGAACCCTAAATCCCTAAACCCTAAACCCCTAACCCTAAACACCGCTCAACCCCTAAACCCTAAACCCTAAACCCTAAACCCTAAACCCTAAACACCTCTAAACCCTAAACACCTCTAAACCCTCTCCCCAAACCCCTCCAGGGGAGCCCAGCCAAGAGGAAGTTGCTGCGCGACGGGTCCTTCAGCCTGGACATGAGCTGAGGCTTCAACACGTAGGGCTTTTAAGCGGTTCAGGGTTCAGGGTTTAGGGTTTAGGGTTTAGGGTTTAGGGTTTAGGGTTTAGGGTTTAGGGTTTAAGGTTTCGGGTTTTGGGTCTAGGGTTTAGGGTTTAGGGTTTTAGGGTGTTCGGGCTATAAGGGCTTTAAGGGCTTAAAGGGCTCAAAGGGCTTTAGGGCCTTTAAAGGTCTTAAGGGCTTTCAGGGCTTTCGGGGCGTTGAGGGTTTTTGGTCACTGCACCTCGGCTCTGAGCACTGACACTTCGCAAGCGTTCTCAGGAGTTTTGGGATTTAGGGTTTGGGGTTCAGGGTTTTAGGGTTTAGGGTTTAGGGTTTAGGGTTTAGGGTTTAGGGTTTAGGGTTTGGGGTTTAGGGTTTAGGGTTTAGGGTTTAGGCTTGGGTAGGATCTGCCTGATGGCATACTCGCCCCCCGACTCCGACTCCAGCATCTCATCGAGCAGCAGCTGGTTCAGCTGGTGATTCCTCAGGGTTTAGGGTTTAGGGTTTAGGGTTTAGGGTTTAGGGTTTAGGGTTTAGGGTTTAGAGTTTAGGGTTTAGGGTTTAGGGTTTAGGGTTTAGGGTTTAGGGTAGATACTCCCAAAAGCGGGGACCCCCTGTTTAGACCCCAATTCACAATTATCATTGCTGCAGGAACCTGCAAGAAGGGTACCCCCATGTGCGGAAACGCGTGTTTCGGACCAGGCCACACAATCCCAGGCCGTATCATCTCTACTGTTACCTGCCTAGACCCTCATAGCCCTCCAAACCCTGAACCCTGAACCCTCAACCCTCAACCCTGAACCCTAAACCCGAAACCCTAAACCCTAGACCCTAAACCCTAGACCCTGAACCCTAAACCCTAAATCTTAACCTCCCCCCCCAAACCCAGAACCCTGAGCCCTGTGTGTGCTCGGGTTGGGTGCTTGAGTGACACAAGTGCTTGGAGGTTCAGGGTACCTAGTAACCCAATAATGGCTGCACCTATAACCCAATGATACCATATCAGGGCGCTTAAGGGGCTTGTAAGTGGGTTGTAAGTACAGTTAAGCACCACGAACCTCCAAGTGAGAGCAGCTGTTACAGCCTTTCGCGTCTTTTGGAGCTAGAGCAGCTAGCAATCTGTCTGGGAGCTCCTTGCTTTGGGTTCAGGGTTCAGGGTCTCCGGTTCAGAGTTCAGGGTTTAGGGTTTAGGGGTTTGGGTTTAGGGTTTAGGGGCTTAGGGTTTAGGGTTTAGGAGGGTTTTGGGTTTAGGGTTTAGGGTTTAGGGTTTTGGGTTTGAAGTGTAGGGTCTCGGCGTTAGGGTCAGAGTCGCAGCTTGCAGACGGGCTTCATGATGTTGAGCATGTCCGCAGTTTCGCGCATGTCCTCCAGGAAGGGGACGTGCGTGAAGCCGCACATCCCTTAAAGCCCCTCAATGCCGCTAAAGCCCCTAGAGCCCCTGAAGCCCCCTAAAGCCCCGTGATGCCACCTAAAACCCCCAAAAAAACCCTGAAGCCCCCCTAAAGCCCCCTGAAGCAAGCCCCCAAAGCTCCTGAAGCAGCTAAAGCCCTGAAGCCCATGAACTTGCATCTCTTGCCCTCTGTTCCTCCCAAGCACACGTCGCCCCAACATCCGAAACAGACGGGACTCCTTACTACAAATATAAGACTACAAAAAAAGAAGACCCTTGCTCTACACCCAAAAAGACCTAAAGACCTGAAACCCTAGACCCCAGGAAGCCTCTTACCTTAAACCCCTACAAGCCCTAAGAACCTCAACGCCCCTCTAAAGCCCTGAACACCTTAAACCCAAACCCTAAACCCTAAACCCTACCCCCTATGGACCCTCAACCCGAAACCCCACAAGAAGAGACCCTAAACCCTAAACCCTAAACCCTAAACCCTAAACCCTAAACCCTAACCCTTATAGACCCTCAACCCTAAAGACCCACAAGAGACCCACAGAATCGGGGGGGCCAAAGACTCCTCCACCCAGAGCCGCAGCTCCCCCGGCCACAGCTGGGGCTCCTCAGGAGCTGCTCTTGCTCTTTTCTTTTTGGCTATCTATCTATATATATATATATATGTATATATATATATATGTATATATATATATGAATCTATATCTCTCTCTATCTACCTATCTATCTATATATATATATATATATGTATATGCTTTTTTGGGGTTTGGGGTTTACAGGGTTTAGAGGGCTCGTAGTGTCGTTCTTGTTTTGGGGGTTTTGGGGTTTGTAGGGTTTATGGGGTTTAGGGTTAAAATGGTCTAGGGCTTGAATGGTTTAGGGTGGGTTCAGGGTTTAGTCTTAGGGTTTACAGGGTTTGTACGGCTTAGAGGGCTTGTAAGCGTTGTAGGGTTTGAGGGGCTAATGGTTGAGAACTCTCGGACTAACCCCCGACAAAACTGCCCAGCTTGCCTCACTGGGGCGGATCAGAGCTCGGATCTGCGACGGGCCGGCGCTGAACCGGAGCTCCTCGCACGCGCACGCGCGCGTCGGTGATTTAGGGTTTAGGGTTTAGGGCTTAGGGCTTAGGGTTTAGGGCTTAGGTCTTAGGGTTTAGGGTTTAGGGCTTTTCGGGTTTTGGAGTTGAGGGTTTCAGGGTTTAGGGTTTTAGGGCGTTCAAAGTCTTGGTGTTTAGGGTGTAGGGTCTGAAGGTCTTGGGGATTGATGGTTCTTGGTTTCTAGGGTTTAACATGCAGGGGCCCTTGTCGGGTTTGTTTAGGGGGTCTTATGAGCTCGGGACTCCAGGGTTTAGGGTTTAGGGTTTTGGTTTTTGGGTTTAGGGTTTAGGGTTTAGTGTCCAGGGTTTAGGGTTTAGGGTTTCGGGCACACACACCCACCCCCCCCCCCCAAACTACTCTCTTTTGGGGCTTAGGGAGGGTTTTAGTTAGGGTTCAGGTTTTGGGGTTCTACCTCCTTATACTAAACGTCCTTAATAAGGGATTATCATAAGGGTACTATGATCCCTGTTAAGGACTGTTAGTCTTAGGGTGAGCATCCCGAGCCTAAACCCTAAACCCTTAATATAATACTCAACCCTACACTCTCAAGCCCAAGTTCTACCCCTTAACAAGGGGAGTTCTTGTTGTTCTGCAATTTGCCAAACCTGCGCCGATGCTCCAAAGAGCTTCGATGGCTCCTCTTCTTTTTGGTCCTCGTCCATGCCGAGACCTGGACTTCGGGTTTAGGGTTTAGGGTGGAGGGTTTAGGGTTTAGGGTTTAGGGTGTAGGGTTGAGAGAACTACCGGGGCAGGCGATATCCTAAACAACCCCAGAAACCCTAGCAGCCCGAAACCGAACCCGTCTTCCCGCCTCCACATAAACCCAAAAACCCTGAATAAGCCAATTTGGGGGTTTACGATATGAGGGGTACCTGATTGGGGTCCTTATTATCAGGGGCATCCTACCCCCATTTGGGCTCAGGGTGTCGGGTTGCTATTTGCAAACGTAGGCCCAGAGAAGCCAGCAACCCTCCCCACCAGCAAGCCTTCAGGAACTTAATCCAATTTCAGCAGCCCGAAGACGGGTTTAGGGCTTAGGGTCCGGGATGGGTTTGGGGTTTGGGGTTTAGGGATTCGGGGTTGAGGGGTTTTGGGTTTTGGGTTCAAAGTATCCATGCCATCCGTCCTGATTAACCAACCCCCTAAGCCTCTAAACCCCAAACCCTAAACCCTAAACCCTATACCCTAAACCCTAAACCTAAAGCCCCAAACACACCAATGGAGCCAGGCAGCCCCTGTTGTAGAAGAGGTGCGCCTCGTCGGCATCCGGCACGGACAGCGTCACGTGGCCTGGAGAAAGCACGCCAATGTAAGGCTTCCGGGAGAAGAAACCCTAAACCCTAAACCCTGGGTTTAGGGTTTAGGGCTTGAAGGAACCTATAAGGCTTAAGGTTCGAGGCTTTGGGGGGTTTTTGGGGCGTTTGAGGTTGTCACAGGTTTAAAGGTTGAAGCTTGGGGTTTAGGCTTGTAAGGGTTAAGATTTGACATTTAGGGATTAGGTTCAGGGTTTGCGTACCTTACCTTACATTCCAAGCACATTGGTGGAAGAGATTTAATCAGGGCGAGTTGAACATCGAGGTTCGGTGAGCACCGTAAACCCTAAAACCGCAGATGCGAAACCCCGAAACCCCAAACCAAGAATCCCAAACCAAAAAACTATCTTACTTCGAACATCCCCACCTTGCTCCTCGTTCAACGGAAAGAGCGCAAATAAGATGTTCAAACAAAGACACATTGATTCAAATACGCGGTTGGGCACTCCACAAAGTCTCTGGGGTTGGGCACTCCAGGGAGTCTCTGGAGTTGGGCACTCCAGGGAGTCTCTAGGAGTAGACCGGACGAGGAGAAGAGTTGGGGGCGAGGAGAAGAGTTCCGGGCGAGGAGAAGAGTTGAGTTTAAAATCTAACAACCCCACACCGAAATCCTAAACCCCAAGCCCCAAACCCTAATTGACAAATTCATACGTGGCAACAAAAAAGTCTATCCCGTACGCACCCTGGACAAAACCAGAGAAGGCGCCCCTGAAGGGATTGATCAGGGTTGTAGGGTTTAGGGGTTAGGGTTGAGGGTTTAGGGTTGAGGGTTCAGGGTCTAGGGTTCGGGTTTAGAGTCGAGGGTTCAGGCTTGAGGGTTGAGGGTTTAAGATTGAATGTTCAGGGTTTAGGCTTGCGGGTTGAGGGCTTAGGGCCTTCTACCGGGAATCGACCCCGTGTTTAACCCGAGACCCTAAACCCTAAACCCGAAACCCTAAACCAAAGGATGCTGGGTGGAAGCAAGTGGCCAAGGAGGAAGAAACTGCCCGCGGGTGCTGGCTGCTGGTGGACGTCCTGGCGGCCGTTGCCCAGCTCCCTAGACCATATATAGGGTTTAGGGTTTAGGGTTTAGGGATATAGGGGTTTAGGGATATAGCGGTTAAGGGTTGTAGGGGTTTAGGGTTATAGGGGTTTAGGGTTCAGGAATATGAAGTTGAAGTAGGGTGTATATTCCTTGTATCCCCGAAACGACACCCAACAAATACACTCACCAAATTTAAACACAACTTTATATACACTGACCATCAATAACAATAATAAACCTTGCTTCATATGCCCTCAGCCGTATAAACCCTACAAACCCTTTAGCCCTACAAACCCGATGAACCCTGTAAACCCTATACATCCAACAAACCCCCGTAACCCCTTAAAAACCTATAAACCCTATTCAACCCTAAAAACCCCTTACAAACCCTATAAACCACATAAACCCCACAAACCCGAAGCCCTAAACCCCAAGCCCCTAAGCCCTATCAACCCCTCACAAACCCTACACCCTTAAAAACCCTATACAAGAACTTGCCACAATAACGGTACATCGCAAAGCGGATGGTGCACCTTCCATGGTGATGTAACTTAAGCTCCTTAAGAAGAACCTTCCGCAAAATACCCAAACCCTAAACCCTAAACCCTAAACCCTAAACCCTAAGCCCTAAACCCTTGGGATGACATGCCCTCATTGCGGATCCTGATCGTTGTGACCAGCGACCAGTCGGCGATACCTGGGGTTGGGGGTTTCGGGATTGAGGGTTTAGGGTTTAGGGTTGAGGGTTTAGGGTTTAGGGTTTATTTAGGGTTTAGGGTTTAGGGTTTAGGGTTTAGGGTTTAGGGTTAGGGTTTCGGGTACCGGAATACAACACAGCAACATGTAGCTTGTGAAGCGTGACGCCAAAGAACTTTTTTGAGACACGTGTGCTGAGTCAGAATTTTGCAAACATCATTGCACGGCCTGTACGAACTTGCAGCAACTCATCCTGGAACCCCTAAACCCTAAACCCTAAAGCCTAAAGCCTCAACCACCCTAAACCCCAAACCCTAAACCCATAAACCTGCACCCTAAACTACGACAAGCCGCCACTCCGGAGCCTTGCGGGGAAGCATGAACGCTGACCAACAGCCACGCTCGTCCGCGAGCACGCTCTTGGCAAAGTCCATTTTGTTGCGGAACACGTGGTTGGCTTGCCTCGTGGTGCGCGTGCACTCTTCCTCTCTCTTTCTGTCTCTCTCTCTCTCTCTCTCTTTCTCTCTTTCTCTCTTTCTCTCTCTCTCTCTCTCTCTCTTTCTCTCGCTCTCTCTCTCTCTCTCTCTCTCTCTCTCTCTCTCTCTCTGTGTTGAGATGGAAATGCGCTTGCACGGTGGAAATCCGGTAGACGCATGACGCTCTGATCAAGCCAAGCATCCCCATCGTTCAAATTGCCGCTCTTGGGCACAGTCGAGGTATAACGAGCTTGAGCCACGACAGCACCAAACAATGTGACTGTCGTTGTCCGAGTAGGCTTTGTACAGTTGTAAAGCCAGTTCACACTGCGTTCAGGGCTTGGGGCCCTTGAGGAAGCAAGTCTATTGAATCTATTGGGGCCGCAGAGGCTAAGGCTGAAAAATACCTGGATGAGGACATTGCAGGGTAGTCAACTTTTCTTATGCTGAGCCAGTTCCATCCTCCTGCACTCGAAGGAAGAATCTACCAACCCTGTGAACCCTCTTCGAGAACAGCTTTACCCCCTGAACAAAGCCTAAACCCTAAACCCTAAGCACTAAACCCTGAACCCTGAACCCTAAACCTTAAACCCTAAACGCTTAGGTCTAAGCCCTAAAAGCCCTAAGCCCTGCTCTCTGCCGCTTTTGCCACCCGCTGACCAAGGAGCTACTGAGTGCTGGCAGCGCACGCGCAAAACAAGCAACAAACGGCCAAAGACACCCTGCGTTTTGGGCTATACTCCCCTTAGAACCTTAATAGCAAAATGTGTTTAGTGCCTTGTTGAAACGTTCTATATAGAAATATAATCTCAAAATAATTCCTAAGGATGTTCAGGGCTTCGGGTATGGGAAGTCAAAGCCCCATTTCTCTGAGCATCTCCCAACTTTCCTCATTGAGCCAGTTGTCTCCCGTCTTGAATAACTCGTAGAAGCGCTCCCGGTTCTCGACGATGTCTTGCGATTCTTCGACGGAGTCACGAGCATCAGAGAGCGTGGACTTCGTGCTTGGCGCCACACTTGCAGAAGGGTTCAAGTTCGCCCGTTTACCGTACAGAAAGGTCACGTTGATGCGCCGGTTCTTGTAGCCCTTCTTGAAGTTCATGGAATCAGTCCGGTGGAAGTAGGTCGAGTCGAAGAGAATCGCGCGATTCTGCACATAGGGCACCGTCACATTCCAATGATCAACAGAAGATAAGACCTCCTCAATCTCTTTGGTGACGAAGATGCTGTTGTACTTATCCAGGCCCCACTCCGGTGGCGGGCCAATGCCGTAGAGAATGAGCCCACCACCCGGATGGGCAGTATCGTTTGCGCCCAGGTTCGCCTCCGTGGGCGTGATAAAGAAGTTGATCTGCACCTGCGCGCAAGGAAAGGACCTAGATGCTTTAATGGCGCTGTTTTGTTTTCTTTTTTTGTCCAATTGTTGGCTCCATGTGTCCTTTAGGGTGCTTCATCGCAACATCTGTGAGGAGAAAAAAACATTACAAAACAAGCGCCAACACCGTGCCTAAACCCTAAACCCCGTTCCAAAACAAGCGCTAACAGCGTGCCTAAACCCTAAACCCTAAACCCTAAACCCCAAACGCGGTTCTTTGGGTGCCTGCGAGTCGTCCGCATGCGTGCCGATGCCACCCAGAGAGCCATCGTACATGTAGGCCCAAGCAAACTCAAGGTCCAAGCCGTCCAGCACCTTTCAGGGGTTCCCCTACTACCCCCCCTCTATACTGCCCGACTACCCCCCCAAGGCTCCCCCCGATAATCGAGGCTATTTGGGGAGACTAACCCCCCTACTAGGTTCCCCCCCATAATTTGAGGCTGTTTGGGGATATTGAAGCCTAATTGTAAGTCACTGAACCCATGAGCCTTCGAGAACTTCGAGCGTAGCTCCCTGTCGATTTGCGCCACCAGCGGGCAAGCGAAACCAGCTTCCAGGTAAGCGCCGACGTGGCCAAACTTAGCTTCCGTCCAGATCGTGGACTCCAAGAGGAAGTCGCGCAACAGGTGTAAGGCCTCCTGAGTGAAGAAGTTGTCGATAACAGCCACATGGTGTTCCTTCTGCAAGTAGTCCTCCTGGATCGCATCCAGATCTAGTTGCGGGCTAATTGCATCACCTCTGACCGAGTCACCCGGGTGCAAGTGCAAGGCCCGCTTTTGCAAGCTGAAAAACACCGCCAAGTCCTGCTGGGGATGTGTCATGAAGAACATATCGCTACGACCTTCAGACACCGTCTGGGCGATGGCCAACATCCTGCGGTATTCAGGAAGCACAAGGTCCGTGACATACTGCTGAAGCTCCTGCCTGAGCACATTTTTTGACACAAGGTACTCAAGCTGCTGGACGTCGCGCTCCACCTGGTGTGGCACAATCTCATAGACGGAATCGTTGTGCACCCAGGGTGCCGGACGTCCTGGCTCGGGCAGGATCGGTAAGCCACTGTCTGCGAGGAACCTGCGTCGGAGCATTCCCATTGGGGAGGACCCAAACTCCAGGCCGACGTTGTCCAACAAGTCAGGGGCTACCCCAGGCTCTCGACTGGACACAGCAGGCCCTTGGCTCCTGGACCCAACTCGGGGCTGTCTTACAACAGCAGAACTGGCACAAAACAGGTTCGCCCTCTGCCACAGCAGCGAGCATGGCAGCGTGAGGAGCACCAGCAAGACAGCAGAACCTTGTGATATCCGCCGCTGGGTGTGCCTTTCGTGCTGCCGACACAGCGGCCTGTGCGACGCAAGAAGCATGGCGCAACGCGAACGTCCAAACGCAGTCGAGCCACTAAAGCTGCAAAGCACGAGATTCTCCGTTTGTTGCAGGCCCACGTTCCCCTGCGACAATTCCAGGCGAGAAAGCGTCTGGAACTTCCCTAAACCCTTCGTTCAGAACCGATGCATCCCGGACATTCTGGAACCCCTGAACCCCGCGCGCCCCTTGGGACCCTTCAGGTCGCTTTTGCGCCTGGGAATCCTGCACCTTCTTGGGGTCCTCCTTTATAGTGTAAGGGTTGGGGGTTTAGGGTTTAAGGTTTAGTGTTTAGGGTTTAGGGACTGTATGGGACACCCTGCGACTTCCGATTTGGACTCCTACACCCTAAACAAACCAAACCCTTAAGCCTAAACTGCGAAGCTTCGGGTTTACGGGCCGGCTGCCCTCCGGCATCTTTTCTTTTTCCCCTCGACTCGCGGGGTCGCATCCATATCCGCAACCCGGTTCAGGGCTTTGGGTTTAGGGTTTAGGGTTTAGGGTTTAGGGTTTAGGGTTTCGGGTTTAGGGTTTGGGGGTGAACTGGAAACGCCCAAGTGCACCGCTTGGACCGTCGACATGCGCGTCCCGTGGCTTGCGCGGGCGCGGCTGGCCGAGGCGGCGCGGCGCGCAAGCGTTTTGACAACAATACTACCACTCCATGTGTGCCTTTTGGGGCCGAGGACGCACAATCACGTGAGGAAAATAAAGCCTCAACCCAACCCCTGAGCTGCCCCAAGCTACATGGCCGTAGATTGAGATCTCAGAAGAAACCTCAGAACGCCCGAAACTCTGCTCAGAAGCCCCCCAAACTCGAAAGCGAAAAATCCGAACCCCCAAAGAAGTCTAAAGGCCTGCAAAGCTCGTTGTACGCCTTTGGGCCAAGAACCCTAGCTTCCTGGCAAGCGTTTAGGGGCAAGGCTTTGCAAGTGTCAAAGCATGACGTGCAGCCAGGCCGCCCTGATCACCTAGTCTGCATGCCGCCAGGTTTAGGGTTTAGGGTTTAGGGTTAAGGGTTTAGGGTTTAGGGTTTAGGGTTTAGGGTTTAGGGTTTAGGGTTTAGGGTTTAGGGTTTAGGGTTTAGGGTTTAGGGCTTAGACGTCACGGTTGAAACAAAATCCTGGTGCGGGGTTAGGGCTCTGAGTACTTAGGGTTGAGGGTCTCTTGTCTTCCAGACCCTATAGGTGCAGTGAGAGCTAAACTGAACTCACAAAGTCCGCTCTCGGATTCTTTATTGGAGGAGGGTTGGGGGCATGTTGTATGAAACATTCTCATGCAGTTCACCTGCCAGAAAATACTCTCAGTGCCTGCACGTCCCCCGCCGCCCCCAACCTATATCCTAAACACCCCCAACCCTAAACCCTAAACCCTGAACCCTAAACGCTAAACCCTAAACCTTGACCCTGTGCCTTTTCCTCTTCCTGACAGCTCGATACTTCGGAGGTGGCGCCACTTCGATCCTTCCAGTGGGGATGTGTCCAAAACCCTCAACCACTGGTTTCTCAGTTCTGAGGTTTAGGGGTTTAGGGTTTAGGGTTTGGGGTTTAGGGTTTGGGGTTTAGGGTTTTGGGTTTAGGGTTTGGGGTTTAGGGTTTTGGGTTTAGGGTTTTGGGTTTAGGGTTTAGGGTACTATACCCTACACCCTATAGTCCCTTGAAACGGGGTCCTGGCGGGTCAGGTTAAGGTTTGATCGTGTGGGTGTCTTCGAACCTGCAATGTACCCTTGGGCTCCCAATTTAAGGGCCTTTCTGTTGACCGTACATCGATATTGTAGTAGGATCCCATATTCACGAGGCCAGACTCAAAGCCATTCGCACGTCGCAGGCTCAGAAGATGAGGGGTACATGCTCCAATTGCCTATGCCGAGAATCACAGTGCTTCTGAATGAGGCTCCCACAGAAGACACCGTACCTAAGCCAGGATCCATGAACAAGTTCTCCCCCAACAGAAGGGGTCCCCCTAAACCCTGAACCCTAAACCCTGAACCCTGAACCTGAACCCTAAACCTCTCACGCGGTCGTATGCAGTTCCTCCTTTTGTCTGCTGTCGCAGAGCCTCCTCCTATGGTTGCAGCATGTTGAAGCAACCAACTTGGACCGCAAATCCTAAACAATGCAGCCTTACCCTTGCTGCCGTCACAAACCCTAAAATGCCCTAAACCCGACACCCCAAACCCTAAACCCTAAGATTAACCCCCTAAACTCTAAACCCCCATCTTGATTGAGCCCCAACCGACCTAAACCCTAAACCCTAAACCCTAAACCGTAAACCCTAAACCCTAAACCCTAACCCTAACCCCTAAACCCTAGCCTACAGTTGCAGCAGCCCGGCGCGGACCAGGGCTGAACATTGAGCCTGCAGCGTCCGCGTCAAAGGGGCGAACTCCATGCCCAGATCCGCCACGATCTTGTCGTTCCTCGGGTCCCAGAATTTTTAGGCCTCCTTGGAGGTTAATGGTACTTGTTAACCCAACAAAAACTGTACTTGTAACCCAATTATCACCATATTAGGGCACCTAACAGGCTTGTAAGACCTTATAAGTGGTTATAAGTAAAGTTATACTTGATAAATACCATGAACCTCCAAGCAGAATTTAAGGCACATGTATGGAATTGCATATTTATATATATATACAAACACATGTGTATATTGTGTATTTGTATACAGGCACAAGGTCTTGAACGAAAAACCCCATGCCGCAGGCGCAGCAGCGCAGCAAGAGCAACGGCACTCGAGAGGATCCTATGTAGATCTGGATTCTACGGCTGGGGTGTTGGGTCGAGGGCTTAGGGTTTCGGATTTAGTAGCCATAAGCAACCCTAAACCCTAAACCTTAAACCCTAAACCGTTCGAATGGAGCTTGCGAGGATCCTAAGCAGCAGGCATGGCTGCGTCGTGGAGCCGTCCGCGCAGGTGGTGGGCAGAGGCGCGGAGGGGTACAGCGCCCGCAGGATCTCGGTGATCTCCAACCACGTCCTCATGAACTTCTGCTACTTTTGCTAATTCTTGGTTGCACTTGCTATTGTCACTGTTACTGATGCTGTTACTGTCACTGACTGTTCTTTCTGCTGTTGTTCTTGTTATTGCTATTGTTAGTAGTATTTGTCTGTATCTTGATCGTTGCAGTCGTCGTTGTTGTTCTTGCTCTTGTTGCGTTGTTAATGTTGGTGGTGGTGGCGTCGGTGGTCGTGGCGCGGTTGGTGGTGGTGTTGTCAATGCTGTTGCTGCTGTGCTGGTTGTGGTGGTGGCGGCCGTTGCGTGTCTGTTTAATGCTGCTTGCTGCTTCTGCTGCTGTAGCTGTGGATCTGTGGATGTTGTTACTTCTGTCTTGTAATCTTCAATGTGGCTCTTATCTTAGTATCAAGTATCCGCATTGTATGTATATTCATATATGTATATGTATATAGATATAACTATATATATAGAGAAATATATATGGATATATAGATATAAATATATAAAAATATTTTTTATATGCTCATATATATTTATATGTATATATATGGGTGGTGTCAAAGTTATGGTCCCTTTTTGGATCCCCATTATAATGCGGCACCTAATATTCAGGGTACCCCAAAAGGGATCATAATTTTGACAGCCACCCATATATATGTGTATATATAGATATATATATATATATATATATAATATGTACATACGTAATAAGTACGCATGTCCTCGTCTCCCCGCTGCACAAGTACCGATGGCCGCCCGCTCCAGGCGTCTGCGCCGCAAGCAAGTGGGCCTCTTGGGGTTTAGGGTTTAGGGTTTAGGGTTTAGGGTTTAGGGTTTAGGGTTTAGGGTTTAGGGGCAAGCAAGTGGGCCTTGGCGACATCCGCCACGTCCACGAAGCCGACGGAGCCGGGTGGCACGTGCTTCATGTTTCCGGCCAAGAGGTTGTACAGGATCAGTGAACTCTGGTTCAGGTCCTGGAGAGGAACTTAGGACACACAACCCAAAACAGTGGCTAGACGGTCACTGCTGGTAAGCTGGTAACAGCCAGAAGAGCTTAAAGTAGAATAGACAAACTGACAGTCCATGGTGGCTTGGTTCCCTACGCCCCAAACCCCCAAAGCCCTAAGCCCTAAGCCCTAAACCCTAAGCCCTAAACCCTGAACCCTAAACCCTTATGAGCAACTTCCACCCGGTCCTGGGGAGAACTCAGGATTTGCTTGTTCTCGCCAAGCACCATTGGAGGCAGAATCGTCACCACGTCGAAGGTGCCCGCGGCCTTATTGGGGGTTTAGGGTTTAGGGAAGTTTAGGGTTTAGGTGTTAGGTTTTAAGTTGTAGGGTTTAGGGTTTAGGGTTTAGGGTTTAGGGTTTAGGGTTTAGGGTTTAGGGTTTAGGGTTTAGGGTACCCTACTTGGAGGTACTTATTAACCAATTATAACTGTACTTGTAGCCCACTTAAAAGCCCCTTAAGTGCCCTAATCGGGGTAGTATTTGGGGTACAGGTACTGTAATTATTGGGTTAACTCCATGAACCTGCAAGCAGTTTAGGGCTTAGGGTTGAGGGTTTAGGGTTTCTCGGGCCCAGGGTTAGGATCAGGGTCTCTAGGGTCTAGGGTGATACTGGTTCATCAGTCGGGAAGGCAGGAACAAGGATTTTTTTACAGCACGATTTCGATTATTGGCACTGTTCGTCTTTCATTCCTGAAACACGAACAACCCTAAACCCTAAACCCCCTAAACCCCCTAAACCCCCTAAACCCCCTAAACCCCCTAAACCCCCTAAACCCCCTAAACCCCCTAAACCCCCTAAACCCCCTAAACCCCCTAAACCCCCTAAACCCCCTAAACCCCCTAAACCCCCTAAACCCCCTAAACCCCCTAAACCCCCTAAACCCCCTAAACCCCCTAAGCCCTCAGCAAGGCGGCCGTCCCCGGGTGCGCCCAGGCTGCCCTCTCGGCCACGGTCTTCGACCACCGGTAGGCGTGGGCATTGGCCGGCTCCGGGAAGGCGCCATCACCATCGGGCTCCGATGAGACATTCCAGTGCTCCTATAGGGTTTAGGGTTTAGGGTTTAGGGTTTAGGGTTGAGGGTTTAGGGTTTAGGGTTTAGGGTTTAGGAATCTGAATAGGGCATTAAACTACAGTACACTGAGGCAGAAGAGTGCACTGCTTGTTTTCTGCAAGCACTCTACCAGGTGGCATTACCACGCTCCTCGCTGTAGTGGAAATCCGGAGCCCAGGGGATGCGCCCGCCGACGTTCATGACGGCAGCAAAGGAGGAGGTCAGCACCACGCGGCGCACTCCGGCCTTAGAACACGAATCCAGCACATTCACCGTCCCCCTCTCGGCCGGAGCCACCAGCTGCGAGAGTGGGTCTGTTATCCGGTCGTCCATCCAGAAGGGCGAGGCCATGTGGAAGCAGACCGAAGCATCGGCCACGGCTTCGTCAAAGCTGCCCGGGGTCAGGAGGTCACATCCAGGGAGGATCTTCAGCGGGCCAAGCGCAGCTAAGTCCCAGAGGGGCGCCAGCTTCACCTCGCTGCGGCTCCTCACTGTCGCCGTCACACCGAACCCAGCCCGAAGGAGCTGCTCGACAAGATGCAGGGCAATGAAGCCCGTGGCACCCGTCACGCACACCGTGTCGCCAGGGCTCAGTGCGGGCGACCCCGCACGGCTGCTTGATGCGCGCCGCGACCCCTGGCTCGTCCTTTCAGTCCCTTGGGCCATCAGCGAAGCGCGGGCGGTGCCGAAGGAAGGGGAAGACGAAGGCGATGACGCGAGAGGCTGCTGGCCATCCCCGCGGGACTCGCAGGAAACAGTCTCTCCCAACACAGCCTCCACCACCATCTTGTCGAAGCGGTGCACGGCAAACTCCAGGCCATGGTACGGCCCTGGGCGGTGCTGGGGGCTCTGACACGCCTTCTGCTGATTTAGCGAGATGTCGTTGTCCTCCCGCACGGCGATGTCCCATCGCCTCAAGTAGGGCTGCAGCAGATCCCGGAAGCTTGGCATCTCTGCTGTTGAGGCTGGGAAGAGGAAGCCCTGCGTCACGCACGACGTGGTGGCGCTCGTGGGGAGCACCCGCATCCACCACGCACAGTCACGGGTCACGTTGAGCTGTAGCGTCGGGAACAAGGACACGAAGTAGGTGCATGCACGTGTGCGGAGCTCTGGGAACGGCGCGGGCTCACCCGGCATTGGCACAACCGATCGGTCCCCGGGCACGTGCACTGCATCCCAGCTGCCGCAAGGCTCCACGCCGAGGAACTTCGCGATGGGTTCTGATGCCATCGGACCCAGTGAGGTGCGGTGGACATAGGAGGTGTGGTAGGTCTCTGATGTATTCTGCATCAGGAACTTCCAGTTGCACTCCACGTGATACTCCGCGCGGCCAACCGTCACAAAGTCCTCCAGCGGCCAGTCTCCAAGTGCCACGTCGATGTTGCCAAGGCTCGCTTGCAGGGCCGGCGCGGAGTCCGAGGCCGTCACGAAGAGGAAGCCGCGGTATGCTTCCAGCCGCAAGGCTTGGAGGGGCCAGTCCTCCTTGTTGAAACACGGGGGCATGCAGTCGGGCTTGGTCACGCTGCGCAGCGCGCCGCTGGTGCCGTCGAAGGTCCAGGCATGGTAAGGGCAGACGATGCCCGCCTTCAGGTGACCCGACTCCGACTTCAGGAGGGTGGCCCCGCGATGTGGGCACACGTTGGCCCAAGCCCGCACCTGGCCGTCCTTTCCCTTGACGATGATGGCGCTGCCGGCCCCTGGCAAGGACAGCGTCATGTAGCTGCCCGGCCTCTTCAGCTCGTCCACGCGGCCCGCCAGCACCCAGGATGGCTGAAGCAGGCGGCGCAGCTCAGCGGCATGCCAGTCAGGATCATGGTAGACGTGCCCAGGAAGGCTCCGGGCCTCAGGAAACGGCAAGAAGGTTCCGCGGTAGGTGGCGGTCTCGAAAAGGGGGCCTGTCAAGGCGTACCTTGAGGCACTGCGCCGGGCCCCGCGTGCATTGACAGGAGCCTCCGGAAGATGGAGTCGCAGAGCTCGGAGGGCAGTTTTCATCCCCTTTTTGGGGCAGCTGAGCTTGCAAAAGGCTGCGGAGAAAAATAGCGCCAAAGCATACCAAGTATGAGTGGCCACAAAGGGGTGGTTTTTTGCAAGGCACTTTCCTATAGCAGTTCAGGTCTTTCCTGCACCGTACAGGGCGCTAGTCCATCTGCTACTGCATTTGCAATACGGCGATATTTATGTTCCTTCCAACGACATGGTAAAGCCGTACCTTTGTCGCCTACCCCACATACCCGATCAAATCTACAGAAACACAAAGTTCCACACATGTCCTAACTCCTGAACTCATAGATACGACCAGGCGCGGACAGTTCCCAAAACAGCACAAAGGCCTAAATCCCTTTTTATAACAGGTCCACAGCAACCTCTCCCAGTTCTCCTCAAGAATCCCATGCCTTTCACCCTGCCCGATCCCCATTAAAAAAAAGAAAAGCACAAGCTGCGGACCTCGAGCTCAACGGGGGCTCACGTACTTCACCGACTTGCGTGGCTAGGTGCAGTTCCTTTCGGCAAAGGGGTCTTTGGGTTAGGGGTTCACTTCGGTGCGCTTCATACAGGGGCCTACACATCAATCGAACGTGTACAACATGTTAGCTAGTTCATCGGAATATACTTGTACTGGGGTTAGTTTGAACTTGTCTTTAAGCCTTGTTTGTGCGGTATCCCCATAAAGACATGCAAGGCATATACCAAGAAAGCTTAATATGTCTACAAAGCCCCCAAATCACAGCACCTGCATCCAACTGTGAAACCAAGCCTGCACCTCGGAGCGAGCAAAGCATGACCCATATGCAGGACCAACATTGAACTCTGTGGGGTGCACGTGACACCTAGAAAAATCTTGCGGGACAAAGCTATATCGGGGGCTTTAGTCACTGGGAACGGTAATTTTCAATCACGAGCCTGCGTTTTCTTGGAGCTTGAGCCGAGGGCTTTCGCTAACCAATTAACATCCGCCTCCTCAAGCTGCAAAAACTTGCGTGTGTAGCTCTCAGAGACCCGCGCCACTCTGCCATGAACTTGACTCTCATTCTGCCTGTGCCATGCTGCAAGACCGAGGACCATTCATTCAATTCTTGGCGTGGACGCCGCGATGCAAAGGCAAATGCGAGCTTTGGCGTGTCGTCCTGGAGCAGAAGAAGTGTGGCCTCAATGCCATACCGGCTACCCTGTTCACACCAGCCAGCCTGCCACAGGCACTGCACAGGCAACTTCAGCGCAGCCCAGGTCCCTGGAAAAAGGGAAGTGGATCCATGCCTGACTGGGGTAGGTGCGCAGCTGAAGTAACGGAGGACAACGTGGCAGCGTCCGATGCCACAGTCCCGGGGATTCTTGGAGCCATGCTGGCATTGAGCCATTCCAAACCCGCGCAAGCAGAATCCCTTATGCAGGCAGCGGGGAAAAAAAAAACATCGTCGGACCCCTCTCTCTATATACCATGTTTCAAAACAGTGTTCTGTTGTGGCGTGGCCTCTGGCTGTTTGGTTGTTGGGGCAAGTCCTTCCTCCCTGATTTGGCGGTACCTCGTTCCAAAACGTGGTCCTGAGGGCTTAGGGCTGGCTTTTAGAAGGGTCAAGAGTGCCCATAAAATGCGCGCAAAATCTTTTGGGCCATGGCGCAGCCTGGCAGGGTCGGAGTTTCCTCGAGTGATTGGGTCGAGTCCGCCTGATTTCGGGCAGAGACTCTGGTAGAGACTGAATTTCTACGTGCAGAGACTCGAGTCTCATGTTTGGAACAGGGAACCCCAGGGATGTCAATTCTTCACAATTTTCACTAACGTTTGAAAGCTGTGGGAGTGTACGCTGCAACGGCCCTCATGTGACTTTCGTGCGGCTCGACTTTGTGAAACCGACGGGCGTTGAATGACACCGGTTGGTCGTGCATGTCGATCCACGAGCCTCCGCTTTTTCTCCATCCTTTCCCCTTCCGCAATGTGCTGAGGATGGGAATGTTGTGGGGCGACACAGAAAGGGCTACAAAGAAAACAACGTCAGGGGCCTGAAATAGCCCGTTGGTCCATTTGTTTCACGTCTGCCACGGAGAGCCCCGCGTCAAGAACTAGTGTTTAAGCCGTCCGGCTAGGCCAGTGTTTTCTGAAAGGCTCAGATACCCTTCTACCAATTAGTCCTTCGAAATCAAAGCAACATACATGTTCTAAGTATTCAGGATGGTCTAGGTGGGATCCATTTCAAGAGTTCTCCTCAGGAGCAGCTGAAACGACTGGCAAAGCTGCAAGCCAAACACCTCCTCAGCTTCACCATCGCCTTGACCATCCGGCCTGCAACTGCACAATGTAAGCAACGTCTTGAAGCGCAAGAACACACTTTAAAGTAAGTACTCAGCAGCACCTTCGCGGGACTCTTTTTCCGTTGGCTTTCGTGGTCAGTCGGGCATAGGTTTCAGAGCTTCCACCAGTTCTGTCCATTTTCTGACAGGTTGCTTGAGCCGCTCCGCTTGTTGCCAGATCCCAAGCTTCTTGCACAAATCCTCGACGTGACTCTCTTCAAAGGTCACCAGTGCGTGAGCCTTTGCGAGCTCGTCTTTAGATGTTATCGAGTCAAGCTGTGGCTTGCTCCGCCAGGCGCTCAGCCTTCGTGTGAGTCCTTCTCTAAGCTTGGTCTTCTCGCTCGGAAGCTCGTTGAGTCTTTGTTCGAGGTTCTCTTTGGAAAGTGGGTTTTTTGGATCGCTGAGACTTAGAACTGTCTCTTCGACTGTGATGCGGTTGATGTTACCGGCCATTGGCTTTCTTGAAAAGCCAAAGAATGCTTCTGCAAGTACCACCCAATACAGTTTGATCCTTTTTGGAGGGTTGCTCATGTTGGCTAGCGCGTCATTCATCTTGTGCGACTTGAACGTGTGGCTTTTGCCTGTTGTTATCTGAAAGGCATGCAAGGTCCCACTCTTATCGAGAAAGCCTGCGTCGATGACTGCCGTTTCCTTTTTGGCTGTGCAGTAAGTGTTCGGTTGGCTCGCAGCTGTATTGAGGAGCTCGAGTAGCTCTAGCTCTCCGTTGACCTTTTGCCTGTGGGACGGCTTTAGGGTTGCCGAAAAAACAGGAGCTCTCGAACCCAGCATTCGGATGTGGAAAGAGCCGCCACTGCTGAGAATGTTGTGAGCGAAAGATTCGAAGATGTCGTCCAGAAGCTGCGAGCCCTGCTGCATGGGTTTCAACAGGGTCTTGAGCTCCGTCTCAAACTTGTTGACCAAGGCATTCTCTGACCCACTTCCCGCAAACTCCACATGGTAATCCGTGGGATCTTCTTCGGAGGGGACAATGAGAAACACTTGGCTCAACGGTTTTGCCCCCTGGCTGTGATGCAGTACACCACCAGAGTCGAAAAACGTTCTCACAAGTCCCTTGTTCCCTACTGCCGATTCCCTCCCCTTTCGTAGATCCTTGACCTCAGCTTCTGTCGCCAGCACTTTCCGGAGGACGCCACCAAAATCCTGAAAAAGCTGTGTAGTTCGTTGCTCATCGACGCCAAAGTACGGGGCGTAAACCATCGTCTCTTCCAGAGTTAGTGGCGCCATGTAAAGTTTGACTAAACCCCGCGCCTTTCGGAACTCACCCAGGTGGTTGACGTCAGGAGAAGGAGCGATGATTGTGTTGGCACTCACCGACTCAACTTTGCCGTCCTCAGCCCTATCCGGGTCGATCACGTAGTGGTTCTGACAGACCTCCAGCTCTTTGCAGCCTGCAGGCGCCAATGCTGAAGCAACACACTGCTGACGGTGTAGGCCCCGCTGTCCGGCTGGAACAAATAAACTCTGCCCCACTTGCGTGCTTCAAAAACGAAGGGAGACGTAGGAAGTAGAAAATGGAGATGGAATCGGGAAGGACTTCCCGATTCCAGGGGAGCCTATCACCGCTACGCGTCTCTTGTTTCTGGCCATCTGCCATACGACACGAGTTTGGTTCCTGACGAAAAGAAAAGGCTTGCTGTGGTCATCTGGGTTGAGGCTGCACGTGAGCGGGTAAATCCTCCCAATCAAGCCCAGATGAAGCCTGCATGCATCAGGCATTGCTTCCGGGTCAGCCCGCACATGCACAGGCTCAAGGTGCACAGGCTCTTCCGGGTCAGGCATGCTTACAGGTGCCAGCAAAGGCACAGGCACTCCAATGTTGGAAAGAGTTGATCATCAACAGGCAAAGGGCTGGTGTGAGCCACACAGTAAGCAGCACAGCCCTCACGCATGCCATGGCTGATATGGCCACACAGCAAGCAGCACAGCCACCGCACGCGAACTGGAGTAACTGGATGCATCGGACAAAAACCTTTCCTGTTCCCAGAACAGACTCGTGAGGCTTCACGTGGTGCCTCCATGACAGACACAACCACAGCCTTCCGCGCCAAACAACCGCATCTCATGTAGCCAGAGTTGTGTGAAACCTTTGCCTAAAGGTGCCTTCCTCTCGGCAAAACACGAGAACAACGGGTTTGCGCACAACCTTGCCCAGCCACAAAGTGCCTTCCACCGGCAAACACGAGATGCAACAGATTTGCATGAAGGCTTTACCTTACACGAGGTGGCAGATTTGTGTGAAACCTTTGCCTGGGCACAAAGCCACTCTAAAACACACGAGAAGCAATCAGATTTGCGTGAAACCAAAGCAGCCAAGAGTCCTCTGCTTGGAAAGTCCTCCCACTCCCTGAAGTGCTGCAAGCCAACACAGCCACAAGGGGCCTCTCAACTTAGTGTGAAACAGATCGCCGTGAGAAGCAGGAAGAACAAGAAGAACAAACACTACCAACAAAACAACCAAACAACCCAGCGAACAAGCAGCAACAACCAAAAGAAACCCAGCAATGCCGGATGGCCACGCCTTCAAACGTGGATTCAAGGAAGCCGGGCGCAGCGTGACAAGTGGCAATAAAAGAAAAGAAAAAGTTTCTTCTTTCTTTAGGCGCGGTGAGCCGCGGCGGCGACCGCCGCATGGCGCCGCGCCTTTAAGGAAGCTACGCTGACCCAGATTATTGGTGCTTGCATTCGAGTCTCACCAATAAGGTCCCCTGGAGCGTACGGCAGAGCTGCCCATTGTTGTGAGTTTTCCTGAATCTAACAATAAAATACTGACCTGCAGATCAATGTGCCGCCTGCCATGTGGCCTATCGGTGTTCCACGTGCCCTACTCCCAAATATGTGATGGACGCGCACAGTGGACTGCCTGACCAAGCCTTCCAAGAAGCTTGCAGGCATGGGCCGCAGCTGCTCAGCACCAGGCTTGCCCTGAACGTTCCTAGGCATCACGCTGCAGGGCACACAGACACTTGGGCAAAAGCACTGTCAAGAATTTAGGCCGGACCTCCCCCTTGCCCATTTCCTCCATCCGGCTTGCTCTTGCAGCCTTTGGTGGCCAACCAAAAACATTGAACATTTTTAGTCAGTTTTTAACTTGGAATGGCCTGACACTTCTCACAAAATGGCTGTTTTTCTACGGCGAGTGTTGCCCCAAGAGTGCTTGCTCGTCTCCGCCCTTTCCGGCGGCTGCTACAGGGGAGGCCCACACACGCGAAGCCAGAATTGCCTAGATTTTTCGACCCCAGATTTGGAGTCGCGTAAACTGGCAAACATGTGTACAGTACAGGAACGACTTGGTCTCCTAGGACTTGCTGAAAATCAAGCCCCAAAAAACAATCTCGAAACCAAACAAGTTGGCCTGATGTGGCCTCAAACCCACACGGTCTTGCTTTGTTGCGACACGTTTGTGGCCTGTTGTGGCCTGACGTGGCCTGAAAACCACACGTTTGTGGCCTGTTGTGGCCTGACGTGGCCTCAAAAACACACGTTTGTGGCCTGTTGTGGCCTGATGTGGCCTCAAAAACACACGTTTGTGGCCTGTTGTGGCCTTGTTGTGGCCTCACGGCGTATTTTTCCCCGGAAAAATGCATTTGTGGCCATGGGGACTCGGGACCCTATAATACTATTGAAAGGGTCCCCACGCACAGCAGACGTAGGGTAATGAGGCCAGATCCGAAGACCGACCAGAATTTTAATCCAGGTTTTTTCCCAAGTCGCTTATCTTCTAAACTGAACATTGTTACAAGTGTTCAAAGACGACCTATGCTCTGTTAGGCGCCGAAGAAAAGTTGGCAGACATAGAAATCACGTGGGGTCCCATGGCTTCACCACTCCTCCGCTGCCCGTCACTGCATCACTTTCTCTCACTCCGTCGTCCTCGCTTCCTCACTCTTTCTCTCACTCTCACTCTCACTCTCACTTTCACTCTCACTTTCACTCTCACTCTCACTTTCACTCTCACTTTCACTCTCACTCTCACTTTCATTCTCACTCTCACTCTCACTCTCGCTCTCGCTCTCGCTCTCACTCTCATCCTCACACACTCACAGACACTCTGTCACTCTCTCACACGCAAGCACTTGCTGCTCCAAAACATACGTCTGTTTGGCTCTGGCAAAGACCAGGGTCGATGGTGCTATAAATTCAAAATGCTGTATAGACAGGTCTGACCCATCAACGGCGCGTTAACTGCCGCAAAAACTGAGATTGGAGACAGCGCCAAAATATGTCCAAGCATGCGCGAATGCACTTGTGGCATCCGTTCACCAGCCCCACAACCTGACCATTGTTAGAACCCCAATGAGGGTGCTCGGCAACAGCTGATTCGCTAGGAGCACAAGCCGTTCCTGTACAGTAGGTATCCTCGCTGTTCAAAGCCCAAGCCTGCCAAAAGCTTTCATTCTGCAATGTCCAGCAGACGACTCTGCGCAACAGCAGAAAACGTTGAGCCACGTTGGTCAACTTCCCGAGCTTGAAGGGCGCCTCCTATCCACAGAAAACACCGACAAAGACCTGCAGCTCAACTGGCGGACCAGCAGAATTGCCAGGACGAAGCCCAAGTTCCGGGGAAGTCGGGCGACCCCGCTTTCAGGGCCGCAAAACACAAGCAATTCTGGCTTCGCGAGGACGGGCCTCCACAGTTGCAGTTCTGCCTCACTGCAGCATTACAAAGACGAGTGTGCAGCTGCTTCGGACAAGCCCCCGTGCGCTCAGCGCGACGCTGCCCAAAGTGACTAGAACAAGGGCAGGTGCGCAGCCAACGAGATCCGGTTGCTTGAGCCCACAGGCTCAAATTCGGTGCCAAAAAATGGGGCCGTCTCGCGGTCCCAAAAATGGTGCCGCGAAATGGACCAGCTCCCGCAGCACAATTTGGAACTGAATTGGAGGCGTGAAACCGCGACCCCAAAATTGGGGCCGTTTGGCGACCCCAGTTTTGGGGTCGCGAATTCTTCTATTTTTGGGCTCAATCCCGCGCTTTCCAGACTGCTACACTCAGGCGACTCTGGCCCACAGACAAGCACTTAACGTGGAAAGATCAATTACTGAGAACCACGACCTCCGAGGGCAGCTTTCTTGTGGAAGCGATCAACATGAAAGAAACGTGCACAGGGGAGGCCCACACACGCGAAGCCAGAATTGCCTAGATTTTTCGACCCCAGATTTGGAGTCGCGTAAACTGGCAAACATGTGTACAGTACAGGAACGACTTGGTCTCCTAGGACTTGCTGAAAATCAAGCCCCAAAAAACAATCTCGAAACCAAACAAGTTGGCCTGATGTGGCCTCAAACCCACACGGTCTTGCTTTGTTGCGACACGTTTGTGGCCTGTTGTGGCCTGACGTGGCCTGAAAACCACACGTTTGTGGCCTGTTGTGGCCTGACGTGGCCTCAAAAACACACGTTTGTGGCCTGTTGTGGCCTGATGTGGCCTCAAAAACACACGTTTGTGGCCTGTTGTGGCCTTGTTGTGGCCTCACGGCGTATTTTTCCCCGGAAAAATGCATTTGTGGCCATGGGGACTCGGGACCCTATAATACTATTGAAAGGGTCCCCACGCACAGCAGACGTAGGGTAATGAGGCCAGATCCGAAGACCGACCAGAATTTTAATCCAGGTTTTTTCCCAAGTCGCTTATCTTCTAAACTGAACATTGTTACAAGTGTTCAAAGACGACCTATGCTCTGTTAGGCGCCGAAGAAAAGTTGGCAGACATAGAAATCACGTGGGGTCCCATGGCTTCACCACTCCTCCGCTGCCCGTCACTGCATCACTTTCTCTCACTCCGTCGTCCTCGCTTCCTCACTCTTTCTCTCACTCTCACTCTCACTCTCACTCTCACTCACTCTCACTTTCACTCTCACTCTCACTTTCACTCTCACTTTCACTCTCACTCTCACTTTCATTCTCACTCTCACTCTCACTCTCGCTCTCGCTCTCACTCTCATCCTCACACACTCACAGACACTCTGTCACTCTCTCACACGCAAGCACTTGCTGCTCCAAAACATACGTCTGTTTGGCTCTGGCAAAGACCAGGGTCGATGGTGCTATAAATTCAAAATGCTGTATAGACAGGTCTGACCCATCAACGGCGCGTTAACTGCCGCAAAAACTGAGATTGGAGACAGCGCCAAAATATGTCCAAGCATGCGCGAATGCACTTGTGGCATCCGTTCACCAGCCCCACAACCTGACCATTGTTAGAACCCCAATGAGGGTGCTCGGCAACAGCTGATTCGCTAGGAGCACAAGCCGTTCCTGTACAGTAGGTATCCTCGCTGTTCAAAGCCCAAGCCTGCCAAAAGCTTTCATTCTGCAATGTCCAGCAGACGACTCTGCGCAACAGCAGAAAACGTTGAGCCACGTTGGTCAACTTCCCGAGCTTGAAGGGCGCCTCCTATCCACAGAAAACACCGACAAAGACCTGCAGCTCAACTGGCGGACCAGCAGAATTGCCAGGACGAAGCCCAAGTTCCGGGGAAGTCGGGCGACCCCGCTTTCAGGGCCGCAAAACACAAGCAATTCTGGCTTCGCGAGGACGGGCCTCCACAGTAGCATCTTTGATGCGCATTGGAAAGGGATTAGCACCACACCCATGGG